TTCCCGGTGTTGTGAAAAGTTTGACAGCCTGTTGTGTGTCTTTTGGTAGTTAACTTTAGCTAGGTTATGGGGATCTGCCGGCACCCAAGTGTCTCTGAGAAGCCCTTGGGCTGAGCACCTTCTATGTCACTTGAAAGAGATGTGGATTGGAGCAACTGGAGACTTGTTTCTGTGCTCCCTCTGTTCCTTTCTTCTCTTTCAAACTTACGGAAACAAGCCTCTGGTTGAACATAAGGTGTGTATATGTGGTTGTAAGCTATGGCAGTCCTTCTCAGGAAACACCTTTCGTAGCCAGGATTCCACAAAAGTGTCATGGTTCTATGTAGTCCATTTTGTAAAAACGTTTATCCTGGATGCATTTCAGTCATTTCTGCTTTAAGTAAAGTATAATATTGTGTTTTAAAAGCATAGTGAGAGGAAGAGAGGAGGGTGGGGAGACGGAGAGAGAATGAGAATGATTGAGAAATCTTTAAGCTTTTAGGCAGAAAAGCAAACCACATAAAAAAGGGGAAAAAATCAAGCTGGCCTCAGACTTCTTTGTAGCAACATCCATTCCAGCAACATTCAAGGGAGCTGCATCTTCAAAGTTCTGAAGGTTCTTTAGAACAACCCAAGAATAGTATACCCAGCCAAGATGTCATTGAGCTATAAAGCTAGCAAGCAGATATTCTTAAACATGCATGAACTCAAGAAGAGGAATATGAGCTTTTCTTAAAAGAAAAAAAAAAAAGACCTACTTGACAGTGAAATCCAGCCAATACTAAATACCTATTGAATTGTTGTTTTAGAATGTAATGTAAGGAAGGGTTAAGAACTTGGACAATGTAAAAATTATATAACAAAAATTGGGAGAAGGCGGGATGCAGTGCCTCATGCCTCTAATCCTAGCACTCTGGGAGTCCAAGGCGGGAGGATTGCTTGAGCTTAGGAGTTTGAGACCAGCCTGAGTAAGAGTGAGACCCTGTCTCTACTGAAAATATAAAAATTAGCCAGGCACCGGGTGTCTGCCTGTAGTGTCAGCTACTCAGGAAGCTGAGGCAGAAGAATCACTCGAGCCCAGGAGTTTGAGGTTGCTGTGAGCTAGGCTGATGCCATGGCAATCTAGCCTAGGCAACAGAGTGAGACTCTACCATGTCCCCCGAAAAAAAATAGAAGAAATGGGAAGAAATTTGAGTGCTAAGATTTTTTTCAGCTTTTAAAGCAAGGAGTTAATAGATTCTGTCCAAAATTAAATTGTGTATAATTTTAAAACTAAAATGATTTCAACCTCTAAATAATTTTTCATGTATTTTTAAAAGTGTAGAACATTCCAAAAATATGTAAAATAATAGCTAGAACCAATTTATGTGCTATTCATATTTATTTTTTTGAGACAGAGTCTCACTCTGTTGCCAGGCTAGAGTGCTATGACATCAGCCTAGCTCACAGCAACCTCAAACTCCTGGGCTCAAGTGATCCTCCTGCCTTAGCCTCCCGAGTAGCTGGGACTACAGGCATGCACCACCATGCCCAGCTAAATATATATATATATATGTATGTATGTTGTCCAGCTAATTTCTTTCTATTTTTTTAGTAGAGATGGGATCTCGCTCTTGCTCAGGCTGGTCTCAAACTCCTGAGCTCAAATGATCCTCCTGCTTTGGCCTCCCAGAGTGCTAGGATTACAGGCATGAGCCACCCTATTCATATTTAATAGGGTTACCATTTTGTTATATTTGCTTCAGATCATGTATAAAATATTTAAGACAGGCTGGGCATAGTGGCTCACACCTGTAATGCTAGCACTCTGGGAGGCCAAGGTGGGAGGATCACTTGAGATCGGGAGTTTGAGATCAGCTCTGAGCCAAGAGCAAGACCCCGTCTTTACTTAAAAAAAATAGAAAAAATTAGGTGAGCATTGTGGTGCATGCCTGTAGTCCCAGCTACTCAGAAGGCTGAGGCAGGAGCATTGCTTGAGCCCAGGAATTTGAGATTGCAGTGAGCTATGATGATGCCACTGCATTATAGCCCAGGTGACACAGTGATACTCTGTCTCAAAAAAAAGAAAAAAAAAAAATTTAAGACACAAGGAAAGGTTTGTAGAAAAATAATAAATATCAATGCATTCACCACCCAAATTAGGAAATAAAACATTGCTTATACAGTTGAAGATCCTTGCATGCCCCTCCAAAATCCCAGAGATAAACTGTATCCTGATTTTGATGTCAGTTTTTCATATAGGTATCTCTATACTTTAATATATGTGATCTAGTCTTTATAGAAATGGCATTCTGTAGTTTGCTTTTTTAGCTTAACATAATTTTGAGATTTATATTGATGTATGTTGCCAGAGTGTATTTTTCATGCTGTGTAATTCTATTATATGGATATATTAAGATTTATTAATCTATTTTTCAATTGATTGACATTTATTTGCTTCCTTTTTGCTATTGTGATCAAACTTTCTTCTTTTTGCTTCTTTATCATGTTTTTTGTAATTTTTAAAACACTTGGATTATCCAGGTAAACTTTTTTACACAAAGTTAAACTTTAAATTTCTTTGTTTATAGAAAAGAAACAAACATTTACTTAAACTTTAGCAATAGTTTTGGTTTCCCTTTGGTTTCTTTTTTCTATTGATTTTTATGAAAATTAAAATAAACATTATTAAAAGTGTCATCTATAGTATGATCCCTTTGTATAAATATATTTTCTCTATTCTGTCTCTATATGTAGAGAGATGTCTGGATTGACATTTATTTAATGTTAAGGATATTCATTTCTAGATAATAGAATAAACTTTTAGGCCTTTTTGTATTGCTTACATTCTTTATAATGAGCATATGTGTTTTTTATAAAAAACAGTAGAGATGATTTTCTCAAAAACAGAAACCAAAAGTGAATATTTAAAGATATTGAATGTGATTATTCAGTAATGCATGAATAAGTATAAATTGCATGGTAGGAATATAAATTATATTCTTTTTGGCATTTTTGCATTTTAAAGGGCTTGAAATGTATTCATAGTACAATTGAATTGTTATAATGGTGTTCTGCCTTTCTTTAAATTGTGACATTTTAAATCAATTAGATAGAGGAAAGGAGAGGTTAGTAATTTTTTTTAATTATCATCCTTTTATTTGATAAAAATCTTAAATCAAGCAGTGGATTGAGACATACTGTCTTTTTTTTTTTTTTTTTTTTTTGAGACAGAGTCTCGCTTTGTTGCCCAGGCTAGAGTGAGTGCCATGGCGGCAGCCTAGCTCACAGCAACCTCAAACTCCTGGGCTCAAGTGATCCTCCTGCCTTAGCCTCCCGAGTAGCTGGGACTACAGGCATGCACCACCATGCCCGGCTAATTTTTTTTTTTATATATATATATCAGTTGGCCAATTAATTTCTTTCTATTTATAGTAGAGACGGGGTCTTGCTCTTGCTCAGGCTGGTTTTGAACTCCTGACCTTGAGCAATCCTCCCGCCTCGGCCTCCCAAGAGCTAGGATTACAGGCGTGAGCCACAGCGCCCGGCCAGAGACATACTGTCTTTAAACAAGCAAGAATAAGACTGAAAGCTTTCTTCTTAATAGAAACAATGGAAACCAAACCAATGGAATGACACTTTCAGAATACTAAGAAGAAAATAAGTGCCAATATAGAGTTGTTTACCAAGGGTTGACAAACTTTTTCTTAAAGGGCCAAGTAGTAAATATCTTAGACTTGTAAGCCATATAAACTATCTGGCCATTGTTGCATGAAAGCTGCCATAGACAATCACAAGTCAATGGGCATGGCTATGTTCCAATAAAATCTTTTTTTACAAAAACAGGCTGTTGGCCCACAGGCTGTAGTTCCCAACCCATGTTCTATATCCAGTTAGTGAATCTACTGAAGTAAATCTACTTCAGAAATGAAGAAGAAATAAAGATATTTTCACATGAATAAAAATAGAGGGAGTTAATCACCAGCAGCCTTTACAGTAAAGAGAGTTCTTTAAGCAGAAGGAAAATGATCACAGAAGGAAATAGAGAGATGTAAGTAGGAGTGGAAAGATAAAATGTGGGTAAACTTAACTGAATGTTAGTTTTATAAAATCATTACAATAATATCCTACAGGATTTAGAATATAGAATTAAAATGCATACCAACAGGGCACAAAAAGCAGATGGTAAAGGTGGATGATAGAACTGGAGTTTAAGTTCCCTGAATTGTCCAGGAAATGGTACAAGTACTAATTTATATTAGGCTTTGATAAATCAAGGATGCAAGTTACAATATCTAGGGTAATCACTAAAAGAATAATAAACATATATGATAAAACAATAGTTTATAAAGAAAAATGCAGTAATAAGAAGTATCCCTTTTTTAGCACCTATCAGTTTCTTTTGATTAAATGATAGAAAAGTTGTTGTAATAAAAAGTTTAAGTCAGGCCAGGCATGGTGGCTCACACCTGTAATCCCAGCATTTTGGGAGGCCGAGGTGGAAGGATCTTTTGAGGCCAGGAGTTCAAGACTAGCCTGGATAACACATTGAGACCCCATCTCTATATAAAACAAACAAAAAAATTAGCTGGGCATGGGGGTGCATGCCTCTAGTCTAGCTACTTGGGAAGCTGAGGCAGGCAGGTTATTTGAGCCCAGGAGTTCAGGGTTACACTGAGGTATGATTGAGTCATTGCATTTCCTTGACAGAGTAATCACTGTCTCTTTGAATAAAACAAAACAGTTTAAATCCCTTGAGTATAATACAACCTTCAAATGATTTAGACTGTATGTAGAAGAGGTTTTCAGGAGTGTTAGAAACTTCCCGTAGATTTTTCTTTCTTATCCCAGGGTTATATAGTCCAGCTCCCCTTTCTAACTTCTCACATGCCCAGTGGGCCCAGGCGTCAGATTTGTTTGCAAAGGTGACAGGTGTTTCCCTCCTTAATGAGCATCTTCAAACTGGATCATATCACAAATAAAAGAGTATGAGATGTTCTGTTTTGTCATTTGGGTGAAAATATGATCTGTTTGTTTTGTAGGTATGACCTTGCTTCTAGGGAGTGGCTTGCACTAAACCGTTCTGTGAACAATGTGGTTGTTAGATATGGTCATTCTTTGGCATTATACAAGGTAAAATATTTCCACTCTGTGGAAGAAACTAAACTCTTTATGTATTATGTAGTTGAAAAGCTATGCAATGTTGGATTTTAATTGGGGAAAACTTTCTGTTGGTGGAGGGTGAAACTTTTTTAACCCAAGAGATTTTAGTGGTTTCAAATTATACTGGAATATTACGATTATGACACTAAATGATTGAAAATATAGATTGAAAAATATAGATTCACTTTTATGCTCATTAGCAAGTTTAGCCAAGAATAGCACATTGTAATGTGACTGAATAATCATTTTCATTTCCTTATTTTTGTAGATAAATGGTAGGATGAGGCAACTTTATTTTTCTAAGTCATTTCATACCGTAAGAGTCATATGAGGAAATCCAAGAAAAGTGGTGAAGCGTTAGAGATATAGAATATGATTAATTTTCTTTCCTGTTTTTCTTTTGTTTTTGTTTTTGTTTTGAGACAGAGTCTCACTTTGTTGCCCAGGCTAGAGTGAGTGCCATGGCGGCAGCCTAGCTCACAGTAACCTCAAACTCCTGGGCTCAAGCAATCCTACTGCCTCAGCCTCCCGAGTAGCTGGGACTACAGGCATGTGCCACCATGCCCGGCTAATTTTTTCCATATATATTAGTTGGCCAATTAATTTCTTTCTATTTATAGTAGAGACGGGTTCTTGTTCTTGCTCAGGCTGGTTTCAAGCTCCTGAGCTCAAGCAGTCTGCCTGCCTCAGCCTCCCAGAGAGCTAGGATTACAGGTGTGAGCCACCACACCCGGCCTCCAGTTGTTCTTTTCCCCCTCATTTTTATAATAATTCACTGAAAGGTGCATTTCACTAACTGTTTTTAAGCTGAGAATAATTATTGAGCTTTTGAAGTGATCCTTTTCTATTCTCGATCTGTTCAGTGTTTTTAAAAATTTTATTTATATTTTTTTCCCTAGGACAAAATTTACATGTATGGAGGGAAAATTGATTCAACGGGGAATGTGACCAATGAGTTGAGAGTGTTCCATATTCATAATGAATCATGGGTATTGTTGACCCCTAAGGCAAAGGAACAGTATGCAGTGGTTGGGCACTCGGCACACATTGTCACACTGAACAATGGCCGAGTGGTCATGCTGGTCATCTTTGGTCACTGCCCTCTCTATGGATATATAAGCAATGTGCAGGAATATGACTTGGGTAGGTATATTTTTTTCTAATAGATGTATTCTTGAATCAAATTTAAATCCTCTACCCTGTTATTATTACTGTTTAACAAGATCCAACCTAACCTTCATCCAGTACTTTATGTTGAAATGCAGTTAACTTTGATGTATTACCAGTGAAATTCAGATTATTGATGCTGCTATGTAGGATATATTTGTTATTGTCAATTTGTCCAGGAGCCAAAGATGGCATAAAATGCTTTGGGTATTAAAAATAAAGTAAACTTTTAAAAATGTTTCAAAACAACAAATACTCTGAAGAAAAAATTTGGATGGCCCTTTAGAAACTGGTTTAATGGAGTGTGAGTTCCCTTAGTTAAATGTTATCATATCTGTTATTATGCAGTAGGGGTACTTACAATTGATACTTCGTGAAAGAAAGTAGACCTATAAAGTACATCAGTATATTGGTCACTGAAGGTCATAGGAGCTAAATGTTTGCTTAATGAATCTCAGTCTTTAAAATTTAGTGTAATTCTTTTCCTACATGGCATATTAGAACATCAGAACATTTAACAGATTGGAGTTTGGCCACATGGATTTGTTATAAGTTTTAGGTGGCCTTATTTTAAAAACAAAAAGATAAAATATTTATATGTATCAGGTCTTCTGAATTCCCTACTTGTCCCCTAAGCAATATGGACATTTTAAGTATTAAAGGAGTCTGCCATGTTTGCTTTTAACTGTTTTTCCATTGCCAGATAAAAACACATGGAGTATATTGCAGACCCAGGGTGCCCTTGTGCAAGGGGGCTATGGCCACAGCAGTGTTTATGACCAGAAGACCAGGGCTCTGTATGTTCATGGTGGCTACAAGGCTTTCAGCGCCAATAAATACCGGCTTGCAGATGATCTCTACAGATATGATGTGGATACCCAGATGTGGTGGGTTCTTTTTCTTGAGCTTTCACTTTAAACTGTGAATTCTGTAGACGTAATTGTTGGGAAAATATTGTGCTATAGTTTTGTTTTCAGGCCTGGCAGATAATTGTGTTCGTCATTGTACATAGAGATATTGGGAAGTAAGCAGAGGTTAATAAAGTAGCTAGTATTTATTTTATTGCATTATTCTATAATTCTGTAGTAGGTTGGTTAGAAAATGTTTGGTGTTTTTTGACTGGTTTTCAATTTTCATGCGCTGAGCACTACTATAAAATTTTAGTTATTCAAAAACCCTGGGGAATAAATTGTATAGCTTGTACATAGTTTGTGTAACCTTTTGTAACTAAGTAGAATATATCCATTTTTTTTAGCCTTTTCTTGATCACCAAAGTGACATCTTTGGGATCAGTTACTGGCATCATTTTATTGAAATCATCAAACAGGATGTTCTCCCTCTGAACTATATATCAGCTTATAAAAATATGCTAATTTTAACAAATGTAAAGCAAATTTGAGTTATGAATTAATGTAATTAAAAAGCAGTGTTGCTGGATGTGATGGCTCACGCCTGTAATCCTAGCACTCTGGGAGGCCGAGGCGGGCAGATTGCTCAAGGTCAGTAGTTTGAAACCAGCCTGAGCATGAGTGAGACCTTGTCTCTACTATAAATAGAAAGAAATTAATTGGAAAACTAAAAATATATAGAAAAAATGATGGGCCGAAAAAATGAGCTGGGTATGGTGGCGCATGCCTGTAGTCCCAGCTACTCAGGAGGCTGAGGCAGAAGGATTGCTTGAGCCCAGGAGTTTGAAGTTGCTGTGAGCTAGGCTGATGCCATGGCACTCCAGCCTGGGCAGAGTGAGACTCTGTCTCAAAAAAAAAAAAAAGAAAGCAGTGGTTTCTCTTCCTCCTTTTTGTGTTTCCTCAAATATTTGATACTGTGCTATGGATACTGTTTTATATTCTGCCTGTCATAAAAATTGTCATTTTTGGTGGCTGTGTGATATGCCATTGTGTGGGTATAGTGAGCCCATGTGGTTTAAATTTTGGTTTCTAGCTTTTGTCTTTTTTTTTTTGAGACAGAGTCTCACTTTGTTGCCCAGGTTAGAGTGAGTGCCGTGGCGGCAGCCTAGCTCACAGCAACCTCAAACTCCTGGGCTCAAGGGATCCTCCTGCCTCAGCCTCCCGAGTAGCTGGGACTACAGGCATGCACCACCGTGCCCGGCTAATTTTTCTATATATTTTTAGTTGGCCAATTAATTTCTTTCCATTTATAGTAGACACGGGGTCTCGCTCTTGCTTAGGCTGGTTTCGAACTCCTTACCTGGAGCAGTCCGCCTGCCTCAGCCTCCCAGAGTGCTAGGATTACAGGCATGAGCCACCTTGCCCAGCCGTCTAGCTTTTATCTTTCTGAGAAAGCATTGTGCATAAGCATTGTCTATATGTTACATGATTTCTTCCCAGAAACTGGAGTTATAGGGCCATGGGGTAGGAAGATTTTAAGGCTCTTAATATATTTTGTCAGCATTCTTATAGGTCTTTAAAATTTTACGTATTTTTTGCTGAGAAAGTTACATATAGGGAAAAATCTGGAAGTATTTGCACATTGTGTCCGAAGTTAATAAAATGGTTATGTTTGCATTAGCAGGTCGATAAATATTCTTTAAAAACTAACCTTGTATTTATTATTTCTAAATAAACTCAAAAGGACCATTCTTAAGGACAGCCGATTTTTCCGTTACTTGCACACAGCTGTAATAGTGAGTGGAAACATGCTGGTGTTTGGGGGAAACACACATAATGACACATCCATGAGCCATGGCGCCAAATGCTTCTCTTCAGATTTCATGGCCTATGACATTGGTAAGTTTCCCAAAGCCATTTTAATTTCAGGAATCTTTTTGTCTGTAAGAAATATTTAAAAAGAAACCAAAAATATTGCCAGTTCAAAATGGTCAGGCCATTTGAAAGAGGTCTGAATGGTGTTTTTGTATTCATTAACTAATGTCACACACTGTTAAAAAGGATTATTTCAACATTAAATTCTTTCTGAGTCACTTCCGTTAATTGCTTGAATGTTAATTTTTGTGGCTGATTTGAGGTATCTGGTCCCTCCTTTGTTACAAATGCCTTATATAGTGGTGGTATGGTTACGTAGTGGTGGTAAAAGTTAAAACTTTTAACTATCAGCATTGTGTTAAATTGGTTCAAGTATTAGCTTTATTTCATTCCCTGGAAAACTGGTTCCACGTATTTGGTGTGGTAACATACTTGACCAGAAGAGGGCAATATTTGTTCGTGTAAAACGAATATGCCCCAGATGTTCTCTTGTGTATGTATCATCATATTTTCATTTTATATGTATATCAGATTTTCATCTTAAATTATTACTATTTTTTGGTGTGGTAAAATACATATAACATAAAATTTATCATCTTAACTATTTTAAATGTATAGTTTAGTGGAATTAAATACATTGATAGTGTTATGCTTCCATCACTACCATCTGTCTCCATAATGCTCTTCGTCTTGTAAAACTGAAACTCTATACCCATTAAACAATAACTCCCCATCTCCCCCTATCTCTAATGCCTGACAACCACCATTCTGCTGTCTGTCCCTATAATTTTGGTTATTCCAAGTCAGACATAATTTTTAACAGACATTTGTGTGCCAGCCACTGAATTTGTACATTAGGGAAGATAAGATGGATAAGTTATAGGCCTTGGCCTCAAGATGGAGGAAGCAGAGAAAGGAGCAGATAATATAATTGCATTTTAGGATGTTTCTTGATGAAAAGAGTGTATGAGAGCACCTCTGAGTACCCTTTAAGTCATGGGAGGTAAGAGTGAAAGTCAGGGAAGGCCTTCTTGAGGATGGGCCATCCAAGCTAGGTCCTTGAGAAGGTTAGGAGTCAGTTAGGTGACATTAGGCTGGATGTTCCAGGCAGAGGAAGCCCATGTATAGAGACACAGAGGTGGAAAGAGACTGTGGTGCATACGTAGGGCTTTTGAGTACTTAATTTTGGCTGCACAATAGCAGCACATCAGGAAGGAGTGGCCTCAAATGAACTAGATAAGTAAGCAGCTGTCAGAATGTTCGGATTTTGAGAAGCCTGGCATGTCATGCTGAGGAATTGGGGCTTTTTGAAGAATCTTCCAGAGGAGGTAATGGAATCACATTTGTGTCTAAGGAAAATCTCTTAGTGGCATTGTGGCAAGTTGTTGGGAAGAGACAAGATGTTAGTTCAGAGACTGTTGCAGAAGGCCAGAGGAGGGATTAACCCAAGCCAAGGCTGTGGAAATAGCAATGAGGATAAAGAGGTAGGTTTGATGAACTACCAGGAATGTGAGGCTTGTCTGGAAAGAGAGATGGAAGTGTCCTTACTTCCAGGTATCTGGTGTGGGCCATGGTGCATCATACCTTTTGCCAAGGCTGGGAATAGAAGTGGAGGAACAGGATTCGGGAGGAAGAGTGTGAAGTAAGTTGAGGCCATGTTCAGTTGGATATGTCTGTGGGAGCAACGCAGAGGACAGCAGGACAATCTAGGAGCAGTAAACTTCTGTAGGGTGCATGTGTCATAGGAATGAGCACACAGCCACAGAATGAGGCCAGATGGAGGGAGAAGTTTGAAAGGGACTGTGCCAGCATGTCAGGGAAGTAGGAAGAAAACAAGGCAAGATTGGTGACCTCTGAGCCAGTTAACAGTTGCTTCAGAGGGACTGAGTAAAATAAGTACTGCAGAATCCTTCAGATTTAGCAACAAAGAGAACATTTATTACTTCCTAGTCATAGAAGAATAGTCCAAGTGGCAGGAGGCTGAGAAATAACATAAAGTGAGACATATACATAGTTGCTGTTGACTATTTTGTTCAACCATTTGTCCGTGAAGGGAAGAAAAGGAATAAATGGAATGCCTCACAGGGAGGAAGATCTAGGAGAGGCGTTTAAAAAAAAGATGGGCTAGACTTGGACTTACTTAAATGCTGTGGTGAAATCCAACAGAAGAATTGGATGTCTAAAGGAAGGGGGTATCTGTTGAATCAGGAAGGGGACCTTTGAGGGTGGGATGAAAAGAAGGAATCCCTGCCACACAGTGGTTTTAGGTTAGGAAGTAGGTAGGTGGGCATGAAGCTAGGGGAGTTGATGGCCTCTCAATGGGAGGAAGACCACAGAATCTAGGCTGGGCAGGAAAAGGAAATGACAGCCGTTGTTGTCAAGGCTGAACAGATGTCTAGATCCAGTGAAAGAACCTTGGCTTAGTGAGTGTCTCAGAGAGTGACACAAGGAGATTGTGTCAGGTTGTGAGGTTGGTGTGGTACAGCAGCGCCAGTTGCTATTAGGTCCAGAAGAGAAGTTGCTAGTGTGGGTCAGGATGAAGAGAAATTAGTAGATCTAGGGGATCTAGGAACAGATTTTTTCAAAACAAGATAAAGTTTAATTTTTTTTTAAATGTAATCTTCCACCCATATTTTTCCATTTTAGCTACTAAGTTTAGGCAAATCAATACAGAGAAGCATGGAAGATGATTATGGAACTCACATGTTTTACCCACATAAGTTTTGTAGAATGTAAAATTGGCTTGCATTAAAAAACGTTCTAGTGGGGCAAATTGATAGGCAATAGGGTGAGTGACCTGGATGTCATGGATGTTGGATGAATTCACTAATTAGAATTACCGAATGCTCTGCTGCCACTGCATTTTACCCCAGAAATAATGATGTGACTAAGAAAATTGAGAGGCATATTTTATTAGGTTGTGTTTGTTATAGTCTTCGTGAAGAAATGTCAGGTCCTATTGATTTTAAATGGTAGGCCCTTCTGAAATGTGTTTTTCTTTCTCCTAGCTTGTGACCGCTGGTCAGTGCTTCCCAGACCTGATCTCCACCATGATGTCAACAGATTTGGCCATTCAGCAGTATTACACAACAGGTAATTGGAGAAGTGCTTGCTCCTTTTGTATTTAAAATGAATATGAACTAAAGTATGAAGAAGTGGAGTTGGACTTACATATTATTTGCAGGATTCCCTCATCCCATTAGTTTTTCATATAATTATATAGGTTTGAATTTTCTGGTTTATGTTTAAAATATTTTACATGGATATGAATTACTTCAAATGCCTTGTTTATTGATCTGGTTTTGTTAGCATGCAGGAGCATGCGGTGTTTACTGTTGTCTGAGAGTGTGCAACAACAAAAGTTACACGCATGTTCCTGTTTTGTGTGCTCTGCTATTGTTTGTGATACTTAGGTTGTTGAGTTTCTAGTAGTTGTATCTGAATGGTAAGACATTTGGAAAAAAAGTAGAGAGGGCACTTCAGATGGGGGGATAGGGTAGGGGAACAGAGATAGGGAGATTGTGAAGCTTAGTATAGATCAGGTTTATGGTCTTTGAGTAATCTGAATTCTGCAATGCATTTCATTGCAGCACTCAAAAATGCCTGGCCCAAATGACCAGAACTCTGAAAAGAATGTCTATATTTGGTATATTCAAGTGAGCTTGAAAAGAATGTGTATATTGCTTTTGTTGGGTAAAGTGTTCTGTAGATGTCAGGTTAATTTGGTTGATAATGTTCAAGTGCTGTATCCTTGGCTTTATGTGTAGCTATTCTATCCGTTATTGAAAGTGGAATATGGAAGTCTCCAACTATTATTATTGTTTAGCATTTTCTTTTAGTATTTCTTGTAAGGCAGGTCTACTAGCAAAGAAGCCTCTGGGTCTTTGTCTGGGAATGTCTTTATTTCAGCTTCATTTTTGCAGGGTAGTTTTGTTAGATAGAGAATTCTTGTTTGATAGTTTTTTTTTTCCTTTCAACACTTTTCTTATGTCATCTGTCTGCCTTCTAGCCTCCATTATTTCTTAGCTGTTAATGTGGTTATTTTGTATGTGATGAGTTGTTTTACTTTTATTGCTTTCAAGATTTTCTCTTTGGGGCTTTCAATAGTTTGATTATATTGTGTCAAAATGTACATCTTTATTTGATGGTATAATAGGGAAATTACAGTTAAAAGTAATTTATCATGTATTTCAAAATAGCTAGAAGAATTGTGATGTTCCCAGCACAAAGAAAAGGTAAATGTTTGAGGTGTTAGATATCCCAATTACCCTGATTTGATCATTACATATTGTATACTGGTATCAAAATATCACATATACCCTGAAAGATGTACTATTATGTAGCAATAAAAAATGTTGATCCTTTTGTGTTTATTTTACTTGGAGTTTGTTGATCTTTATGGACATATAGATTAATCATTTTCATCAAATTTGGGAAGTTTTCAGTCTTTGTTTTCTTTCTTTCCTTTCTTGTCTCACTCTGTCACTCATGTTAGAGTGCAGTGGCGTGATTGTAGTTCACTGCAGCCTTGAACTCCTGGCCTCAGGCAATCCTCCTGCCCTCAGCCTCCTGAATAGCTGGGACTATAGGCATGTACCACCACACACAGCTAATTTTTAAATTTTTTTATAGAGGTGGGGTCTCATTGCCCAGGCTAGTCCTGCCTCAAGCAATCCTCCTGCCTTGGCCTCTGAACGTGGTGGGATTATAGGCATGAGCCACTGTACCTGGCCTTTCATATAGTTTTAATTTTTATTTTTCTTACAACTGAAATTGAGCATTTTTTCATATGCTTACGGGCATTTGCATTTCCCCCCTGCAAACTGGCTGAAGCCCTTTATATTAGGATATTCCTTTTCCTGTAATGTAATTGTAAATAATTTTTTTCTAGCTCATCATTTGTCTTTGCTTATAGCATTATTTTTTATGTAAAAACTCCTTGTAATTCATATAATCAAATTTTCTATCTTTTTTCCCCTACTTTCTGGATTTTAAGTCCTAGGAATGTTCTCTCCACTCTCAGGTGGTAGAGAAGTTCACCTACTCTTCTTTCTAGTACTCCTGTGGTTTCTTTTTTTCAGGTCATTCTCTGATCCATTTGGAATATATCCTGATACATAGAATGAGAAATAGATTCAGTTTTATCTTTCTCTGTATGTTTCATTATCTTGGTACCATTTACTGAAAGACTGTCTTTCCCCCACTAAGATACCACTTTTACTGTGTACCAAATTTCCATGTGCACTTTTATCTGTTTCTGGTTGGTCTATGCTTTCATGCACCAATATGTCATAGCCTTAATCATAGAGGCTTTTACCTATGCTTTTAAAATTGTTATATTTTTTTAATATTTAAAAACATGTTAAAAACATGTAGATATAGAATTACTGTTTAACTTTAAAAGATGTTAGCATACCCTGACACCAAAATATTCCAGAGACTGAGGATTAAAAGTCACCAGGCTGTCAAGAACACTTCTAATATAGTGTCTTGGAAGAGTAGGTAGACCATAGAAACCACTCTGGGTGGTCACAGGCCAGGATGAAAGGGTGGAACTGGGAAGGGAAGGGAATAAGAATGTTTTTGAAACTTTGGAAAATAATTTCTTAGAGGACTTATAATATGTAAGATTTGTCTGTACAAAGAAGGTCATGCAGTTGTTATCTAAGTGTTCCGCAAATTCCTTCTTTCTCCTTTTCCTCTTAGCACCATGTACGTGTTTGGTGGTTTCAACAGTCTCCTCCTCAGTGACATCCTGGTGTTCACCTCAGAGCAGTGTGATGCACACAAGAGTGAAGCTGCTTGTTTAGCAGCGGGACCTGGTATCCGGTGTGTGTGGGACACAGTGTTGTCTCAGTGTATCTCCTGGGAGTCAACAACTAAAGAACATGAAGAGAAGTTAAGATCAGAATGTTTTTCCAAAAGTATGTTTTTTCTCTACTTAGAATTTAATGAATTTGAGATCGCATTTTATCTGAATATGAAGGAACTTAGCATATGTAGACTTTGTATGTTCCCCTTATTATCCAGAATTATTCAGTAATAACTTGTGCAAAGCCTTTTTGGGTTTTTGAAAATTGGTTTGTAAACATCTTGGATGGGAACATGCCATGTGGCTCCTAGAAGCTGTCTTTGAATGATGGGGACATAACCTTCTTGTCGTTGTGTAGGCTTTGCATACCAGCTTCAGAACCTAGCTGTAGTTGGTCTGATGCAATGCTGGCCAATAGAACCTTTTTTTTTTTGAGATAGAGTCTCATTCTGTTGCCCGGGCTAGAGTGCTGTGGCATCAGCCTATCTCACAGCGACCTCAAACTCCCAGGCTCAAGCAATCCTTCTGCCTCAGCCTCTCGAGTAGCTGGGACTATGGGCATGCACCACCATGCCCGACTAATATTTTATATATATATTTTTAGTTGTCCGACTAATTTCTTTTCTTTTTTTTTAGTAGAGATGGGGTCTCGCTCTTGCTCAGGCTGGTCTTGAACTCCTGAGCTCAAACGATCCGCCTGCCTCACAATAGAACTTTTTTTTTTTTTGAGACAGAGTCTCACTTTGTTGCCCAGGCTAGAGTGAGTGCCATGGCATCAGCCTAGCTCACAGCAACCTCAAACTCCTGGGCTTAAGCGATCCTGCTGCCTCAGCCTCCCGAGTAGCTGGGACTACAGGCATGCAGCACCATGCCCGGCTAATTTTTTGTATATATATTAGTTGGCCAATTAATTTATTTCTATTTATAGTAGAGATGGGGTCTCACTCTTGCTCAGGCTGGTTTTGAACTCCTGACCTTGAGCAATCCACCCGCCTCGGCTCTCCCAGAGAGCTAGGATTACAGGCGTGAGCCACTGTTCCTGGCCAATAGAACTTTTTAATGATGAAAATATTCTGTATCTGGACTGTTTCAATATGGTAACCAGTAGCCACAGAAGCTGTCAACCACTTGAAATATGGCTAGTGTGACTGAGGAACTGAATTTCTTATTTTATTTCAATTAAAAAACATGTGGCTAGTGGCTACCATATTGGATTACACAGGTCTAGCATCAAGGGTAAAAGAGGAGGGTCAAGCCAGAAAAGCCATGCTGGGGTGAATTGTTCTGGTGAATGAGGGAGAGTGACTGTCCTTGCAAAGTATTCTTCTCCAGCTCCTCTAGTTGGATACACAGTATAGCAAGGCTGACAGTGGCTCAGGGTGGTCCTGCCTGCTTAGCTTCTTGTCCTTTGGCTCTGATAAAGAGCACAATATGATACAATGAAGTAATGTGTGGGAAAATTCTTAGTAAGGAGAATGTCTCTACAAAATATTCGTTCTTATCAATTTAAAGTATATTGATTGAATTTCCTTAACAAGTAGGTTTGGTGTTGGCAGTTAACGTGAGAGTTATGGTGGATAGAAGCAGCTTTCAGTCTCCTGGGATGCTCCAAATTAAGCTATTCAGGAATATAAATCCTCAGAACACCCAGGCAACCCTCCCAGGTTCAATGGTGGGCTGGAGGGTGCTGGACAACAGAGATTATCAGCACCTGGTAGAATTACTCACTGCCTTCTGAAAGGGATAAAATCAGTGAAATAGTTATTTTTTTATCCAAATAAAAAAAGTTGAAATTAAATGTGCAGGTTTATAGGAAATAACATTGAGTTACCTTAGGTGGTTGAATATAAGCCCATTTACTGTCATCTCATCTGAGGTGTTGAGTCCCTATTTCACTCTGCTTTCTGGGTGGGACCAATCCTTGGGATGGTGACCAGGATAGGAAGAACAGCCTAAGGAGCAGACTGCTGGGGTCTTTGTGAGAATGCGCCCTGCCTCTTCCTGTGTTCCACCATGTGCCTTGTCTGTGGGGTGGTTCAACAGATGAGGCAATGTGGTTGAGCAGCTTCTCTTTTCTAGCGTCCACAGGAGATGCAAAATGTCTGGAACTTGCACAGTTCTCGAACTTACACTATTGAATTTACATATAAGCGTACAAAATGCAGCTCAGCTTTGTGTCTCCTGTGGGATTGTAGGGTGCCACCTACTTCCTGTGCCCAAATTAGCTTTGCATTTATAACTAGGAGGAATGGCTTGTCCTCCTACATTATTTTGTTTGGCTCCTGGGCAGCCTCAGGCATTCATTCTATTACTAGTTGATTTTTTTCTTGGGAAGAAAAGTATTCAAAGAACCAGACCTTCTGTTATATCTTAATAGTTGTTAAATGAACCTGTCTTTGTTTTTTACTTTCTATGTACTTTTTTGTGGGTACAAAACAGTTTTTCTTCAAATTGTCTATTTATTTCTAAATCTTATTTTAACCTGAACACACCAGTATATTTTCCTGCCAGTTTCATTCTTCATTTTACGTCCCAACCATTGTTACTTTTTTAAACCTCAGTTTCAGATTGTGCTCAACCCAAGCTATTGCAGTTGACGAGTTTTTCTTCTTTTTATAGCTCCTGACCATGACAGATGTGACCAGCACACAGATTGTTACAGCTGCACGGCCAACACCAACGACTGCCACTGGTGCAATGACCATTGTGTCGCGATGAACCACAGTTGCACAGAAGGCCAGGTCAGGGGCCATTTCTGAGAACAGAAAAATCCTAATTGAGCATAGGTTTAGGTTATAGTGTGTATGGTATAAATAGTGGTCCAGAGTTGTTATAAAAATGGGATATGGATTTGTATTTTACTATTGCTCAGGTTTCTTATAGGAAGGGGATGCTCTATACATGCTGATTTCAAGGGTCTTACTAGGCACAGGGATTTGTATATAGTGGTATAAAAGAAGGTAGGACTATTGTCCCAGGGCATGGTTATGACTGGATCCTTGGCTTGGGGTTTGTAATAGCGACCTCACTCTACCTGTGCAAGGTTTTGGTAGCAAGTTAGGGCTTGAGATTGAGAGTGTATCAGGTGTGTAGTGGCTCATATTGAACTCTAGAAATGATAGACTTTGCAGAATCTCCTAGTCTTATGTTATATCTTGGTTTTGCGTAACTTCACAGCTCACAATATATGATTTTAAAATTTAGGTTCCAGTAAAAGGCTAAAAAAGATAACATGGCCCAGCTTTTGTAGTTTTTGACAACTTATAAGACTTATTTTTGTCAGCATAATACCATTTGTAAAGTAGAAAACTTTTAGACTGTTGCACGGGAGCATTTGAAAAGCAGCAAGTTCAACGTTCCCGTTTACAGATAAGCACATTGTGGCATGATATTTAAAAGACTGGTCTGCTTCCTTGCCAGTTAAAAGCATGTCCTTTTGCAGAATGTTCTGCTACAGTGTTTGCACTGCAGTGCTGCCTCATCTGCATCTTATATATCTACTTATCTACCTATCTCTTTATTTATTTGGAGTTTGCTTCCTCCATTGATTTTGTTGTCTTTAGTATTAGTCCTCACCATGAGTTCTCTCCGTGGATATAAGAGAAAAGCTTTTGTCCCCTGTATTCTAGATCTCCATTTTCAAGTATGACAATTGCCCTAAGGATAACCCCATGTACTATTGTAACAAGAAGACCAGCTGCAGGAGCTGTGCCCTGGACCAGAACTGCCAGTGGGAGCCCCGGAATCAGGAATGCATCGCCCTACCCGGTAGGCCTTTCAGGGGCATCTTGGTGTGCGTGTGTATGTCCACAACTTCGCCCCCTTCCCCAATATTTTACAGTCTAGGTTGAACCTAGCACAGGAGAAGAGCTAATTCTATCCATTCATTCCCCATACCAGTAGTATGGTTGTTATTTTTTAAACTAAAATACATCTCTTAAGTATTTGCTCCTACTATCCTTTTAAATAAAGTAAATCATCTTCTGTTGTTCTGGAGAATCAGTTGACAGCTTGGCTCCATATCACTGAGCCTGCTCCATTGTCCCCTCCCCACCCTGCTGTGCTAATGTGGGACTAGAACACAGCAGTTTCCACAGCCAGTCTGCTGGCACTTTATGAAGAGTACTTCTTATTCACCACTGGCATTTGGCTCTTGGCATCTGCTGAGAGGGCTTCTCTGAGGAGAGGGGAGAGACCTCTGTCAGCACTTTTTTGTGATCTCCAGCCCTGAGTACCTCAATATATAGCACTTCTGAGGTTCAGGATAGTGAGCTGGGGCCTGAGGCCAGCCAGCCGTGACTGAACCCCTATGATATATTTGCTTAACCAGAAGTACTTCATTCAGCTGGCAGATTGAGCTTCTTATTCTTTTCTTTTCATTTTTTTTTTTTTTTTTGAGACAGAGTCTTGCTTTGTTGCCCAGTCTAGAGTGAGTGCTGTGGTATCAGCCTAGCTCACAGCAACCTCAAACTCCTGGGCTAAAGCAATCCTGCTGCCTCAGCCCCCTAGTAGCTGGGACTACAGGCATGCGCCACCATGCTCGGCTGATTTTTTCTATATATATTAGTTGGCCAATTAATTATTTCTGTTTATAGTAAAGACAGGGTCTTGCTCTTGCTCAGGCTGGTCTTGAACTCCTGAGCTCAAGCAGTCTGCCCACCTTGGCCTCCCAGAGAGCTAGGATTACAGATGTGAGCCACCACGCCCGGCTTTTTTTTTTTTTTTGAGACAAAGTCTCACTCTCTGCCTAGGTTAGTGCTGTGGCATCAGCCTGGCTCACAACAACCTCAAACTCCTGGGCTCAAGCAATCCTTCTGCCTCAGCCTCCCTAGTAGCTGGGTCTACAGGCATGTGCCACCATGCCTGACTAATTTTTTCTATATATTTTTAGTTGCCCAATTAATTTCTTTCTATTTTTAGTAGAGATGGGCCTCGCTCTTGCTGAGGCTGGTTTTGAACTCCTGACTTTGAATGATCCACCCACTTCGGCCTCCCAGAGTGCTAGGATTACAGGCATGAGCCACCCACCATGCCCGGCCTGTTTTTTATTCTTGTATTCTGTGTTTGGTCCTTAATAACGTGTCTGGTGCCCTTACCACATCCTAATGAAATTCCTAGAATTCAAATCACAAAGATCACGTAGGTGTTCAGTAATTTGAACTAGTAATGTAATAGTTTTGTGTGATTTCTAAAACTTTTTTTTTTCTTTTCCCCCTTTACAAAAGAAAATATCTGTGGCATTGGCTGGCATTTGGTTGGAAACTCATGTTTGAAAATCACGACTGCCAAGGAGACTTATGACAATGCTAAATTGTCCTGTAGGAACCACAATGCCTTTTTGGCTTCTCTTACAACTCAGAAGAAGGTAGAATTTGTCCTTAAGCAGCTGCGAATAATGCAGTCATCACAGAGCTTGGTGAGTTAAAATCCTTAGAACTTAAGTTTCTAGTGTCTACCTTTCTTCTGAGGGTGTGACTGCAGCTTGCATAAAGAAGGCTGTGGCTACGTGTGATGTGCTCAGCAGGAGCAGGAATGCTAGTACACGCAGTGTGAATAGACTGTGGAGCTGTACTGTCGCAATCTCTTCCTGTAATGCCTTTTTTCTTATCTTAAAATTTTTAATTCTTTATATTTTTATTAGTCACATTTATTAAATAAATTATAAGATCTTTGAATAATTATGTGGGACAAATAGTAATATTTATGTATATGCACATACTCCGGTGACATCAGTAGATGATTTCATACCTGTTTTATCTCTAGATTCTGCTGGTGGGGGGAAGGAAGAGGTCACTACTAATTAGCCAGGTTAAATTTGCTGAGTTCCTTAAATTTAAGGTATTAATACAGTACATAGTATTGTATGGTCACCGCTAAAAAATGTACATGCATTCAGGTCTTTCTAAGACCTGGCCAGCCCCAAAGAAGACAGCACGTTCTTGTCAAGAGTTGCTGAGCTCAGAAAGGCTCAAGTTCTCTTCCTGTCCACCCAGTGCTCTCAGGTGGCTTATGGTTGACATTCTGTAATGTCATTTTTAGTCCAAAGTCCAAACTGTGATCCTACCCTCAGTTTAGTAGATACTCTTAGAATAAAGCTCTGTTAGCAGTATTGGCTGTGGTACAGCAAAGTTTAGTGGAAATGTTCTTGTCAAGCAGGGAGGAGTTGAGAGCAGCACTTCCCCGGGTGCAGCCTTCTTTGTGTGAAGGTATGGAAAGTGTCCCTGGGTCCTAATACGTGTGGCCTCTGCGTACCATCTGAAGGGCCATTCTGAGACTGGTAGGAGGTGCCCTGTATTTTACTTTTCTATCAGTCTTTTTTTTCCAGTGCAACTTTGATTTGGTATGGACACTCAAACACTGGTAACACATTGTTAGTGTGCTTACCTCAGGGAATACTGTGGCCACATTTGGCATTTTACGATATTTTGATAGCTTTTTCAAATTTCGTGATCTTTGTTGGAGACTATGTTGTTTTTCTTCTTCCCCTCACCCCCCAAATATGGGCCCTACCCAGTATTCTGTCTTTGGGTGTCAGCTGATCTTAACCTGTAGTCATTCATTCCCTCAGGAAGTGGATGGGTGGCTCACAGCTTTGCCCATTACCCTGGTGTCTCTACTGGTAACTTGAATCCACATCTCTGAAGAATATCTGATGAGAAGGTTGCAACCATCCCAGCTGGCTCCAGATAGACCTCTGGTCCCTTTTCTCTTTTCCTCAGGTTTTTTAGCTCTAAAAAGTTCTGGGTAGTCTCATCTCCTGTGGCCATCATTATAAAACAGAAATTCACCATCTTGTGATAAGACTGACAGGCGAGAGACAACTAAAGTATAATGTGCTTCCACAACTATACCTCTAGATGTAGCCCAGTCTGTACAGCCTAGATTTTAATGGAAAAAGAAGAATGGGCATCCAGCCTAGCTTTAATATAACTGGCAGACAGCTGGGAAAAAGTAACTCCTGAAGATAAGAATGAGTGAGTGGAAAGGTGAAGAGAGAAGGGCTTTTTGTGCATTAGTGCCTCCATATGTGAGATGCAGAGGTTTAGGGAATGGCTCGTTGAGTCAGCCACAGGTAAGTTTGCGTGGCTGGCTGCAGGCTGGATTGGAGGGATTTACTATAGCTGGGCCTTAAGAAGAGATCAAGGCCAAATCCTAAGGAGCCTTGGCCACAATGCCATTAGGGTTTGAGTTTTACCATGAAGGCAAAGAGAAGTTATTGAAGAGCTTTTTAAAAGCAAAATAACTACTTTTGAATGTATTTTTTTCTTTAAGATCTTTTAATAGGTGTGTGTATTTTTTCCTTGAGAAATGGAAGTACATTGTACATTTTGTTTTATAACTGCCAAAATTAGGAATGTCTTTCATTTCTGGGCTAAACTTTCTACTTTGATTTTTAAAAACTTTTTTTTTTTAACTTAGTATCCCTAATCTGAAATCCAAAGTGCTCCAATGAGCATTTCCTTTGAGCATCATGTCAGCACTCAAAATGTTTCTGCTTTTGGAGTGTTTCAGATTTTTGTATTAGGGCTACTCAACCTGTATTTATATACAATGGAATATTGTTCAGCCTTAAAAAATAAGAAGGAAATCTTGTCATTTATGACAACATGGCTAAACCTGGAAGACATTATGCCAAGTGAAATAAGCCAGGTTCAGAAAGACATATACTGCATGATCTCACTTATATGTGGAATCTGAAGAAGTCTTAATGCACAGGAGCAGAGTAGAGTGGTAGTTGCTATGGGCTTTGTGGGGGGTAGGAAATAGGGAGACGTTGTTCATAGGGCACAAAGTTTCAGTTGTGCAAGATGAATGAGTTCTGGAGATCTAATGTACAGCATGGTGATTATAGTTAATAATACTGTATGTATACCTGAGATTTGCTGAGAGTTGATTTTTTTTAATTTTAGCATATTATGGGGGTACAAATGTTTAGGTTACGTGTGTTGGCTCTCCCCCAGAGTTGATTTTTAATGTTCTCCCCTCCTCTCCCCCCCATACACACACACACTGGTAGCTTTTGAGGTGATGGATATGTTAATTAGCTTGATTGTGGTAATCATTTCACAGTGTATACACATATCAAAACATCAAATTGTATACCTGAATAAATATAGTTTTTGTTGATTATACCTCAGTAAAGCTGGGGAAAAGAATTTTAGTACCAGGCAGTACTCCATAAATAAAGGTGGGAATCTTCAATCATCTGAATGGGCCAGGGCCCCCAGATAGCATTAGTTAATGATCTGAGAATAGGCATATAACCACTATTTCATAAATATTGGTAAGATGACCTGATGTATGAATGATCATTTAAACCAAGTTTGGGGGTGACCAAACTTCATAGCATTTGTCATAGGATATAGAAGTTTCAGAACTTGATTATTGTTTTGCTGTTAATCTCTGTGAAAATTTTGATGTATTATTTTCTCTGAGCTATATTTCTATTCTTTGTAAAATGACCATATTGAAGTGATCTGCCATGGCTGAGTCAGGACATAGGGAGGTTTTCCTGTATCTGTGGGGTATACCTTAGTATTTTTATCTAAAAGCCTGCTTTGGTCATTTCTGGTTTATTCATAGTTGTGTCTGTTTTGCCTATAGACCAAGCTCACCTTAACCCCATGGGTTGGCCTTCGGAAGATCAATGTGTCCTATTGGTGCTGGGAAGATATGTCCCCGTTTACAAATAGTTTAATACAGTGGATGCAATCTGAGCCCAGTGATGCTGGATTCTGTGGCATCTTGTCAGAACCCAGTATTCGCGGTTTGAAGGCTGCAACCTGCATCAACCCACTCAATGGTAGCGTCTGTGAAAGGCCTGGTAAGTGCACAGGTAGATTAGGTGCAATTGGAAATTTGTTGAGAGAGAAACCATACAAGGCATAATTCAGTACTGAGATGTGTAAAATCCTCATGAAGACATAGGGAGTATTGATTTCAAGTATATGAAGCAGAGTATAACCCAGAATTTTAGCAGCAGAGGGAAATAGGAAATAGTCTGTGTCCTGAATAGTTTGATCCATAAGCAAAACCAAAAGTAACTAACACTACTCATAGAACCTAATATTCTAATTAACAGTGAGATTGATTGATTTGTTGACCACAGAAAGTGTTAAGAATTGCCCTGAAAGGCAAATTTCCTGCTGTTAGCAGACAAGTGCTTTGGAAGAAAGTACAAAAAAGGAAAATAAGAAAAAGAAAAGATTAGAAAAGCAAGCAAATCACTGCAGAGACATTGTTCAGAAAGGTAGTATCAGTGGGGAGAAAAATGACGAGAGCAGTTCTGTGACAGAAGACAGATGCAAACCACAACCTCACAGAAAGCTGTGGGAGAATGCTGAACCAGCAAACATTGTGAGTAACCTCACGGGTTTGACTCTCCCTTTGGGCTACATTTCAGCTACATAAAGACAGGCCCGGGGGTAGCCTCTGCAGCAAGCAGAGAAGCCCAAGACAAACTTCCCTCTCCTGCAGAGGGACTCACAAGCAGGAGGTGGAATTGTGGATTATTTGAGAAGGGTGGGCTCCATTTACATCATGTCCAGTTTTAGAAAAGTGGTACAATTTGAGGAATACAGAGGTATAGGAGAGAATTCATAGCACTGTAGAAGTCACCTTAAAATATGATTTGTAATCTTATGTAGGGGAGCTGTCTAGCCTTTTTGAATCCCAAATGTGTCAGTGAGTTTAATGAATAGTCCGGTCTTTCTCTTCTCCCCAAAATTACAAACATAAAGTTTTTTTTTTGAGACAATCTCACTTTGTTGCTCAGGCTAGAGTGAGTGCCGTGGCATCAGCCTAGCTCACAGCAACCTCAATCTCCTGGGTTCAAGCGATCCTACTGCCTCAGCCTCCTGAGTAGCAGGGACTATGGGCATGCTCCACCATGCCCGGCTAATTTTTTTGTATATATATTTTTAGTTGGTCAATTAATTTCTTTCTATTTTTAGTAGAGATGGGGTCTTGCTCAGGCTGGTTTCGAACTCCCAACCTTGAGCAATCCATCCGCCTCGGCCTCCCAGAGTGCTAGGATTACAGGCGTGAGCCACCACGTCTGGCAACATAAGGTTTTGCATATTCAGGTGGGTTGTAAAACCCCAGGAGTTCGTCCTGGGTCCCCAAATTATAAGGAGCTTAGATCTCTACTTTTATGAAAGATTCACTTGTTCCATCATTTTGTCGTTAATCCCCTTTGAAAAGAAATCCATTTTTTCCCCAAGTGTACAAATAACAGTACATGATAAACAGTACATGATGACTCTAATGTTTTTTATTTTCATCTGCATTTAATGTAGCCCCTGAATTGATTTCATGACACACTAATGGGTCACAACCCACCTTTGAAAAGTTTGACCTTAGCTGACATGGTGGGAGCTCTAAGTGTCTCTCTTGGGTTTAATTCCCAGCAAACCACAGTGCCAAACAATGCCGGACGCCATGTGCCTTGAGGACAGCGTGTGGAGAGTGCACCAGCGGCAGCTCTGAATGCATGTGGTGCAGCAACATGAAGCAGTGTGTGGACTCCAATGCCTACGTGGCCTCCTTCCCTTTTGGCCAGTGTATGGAGTGGTATACGATGAGCAGCTGCCCCCGTAAGTGAAAAAGTGAGCTCTAGGCATTCACACATGCCCTGTGCCTGGATGAGAATTCTGCCATGGGGCAGTGCTCTCAGCCTCTGAACATTTTAGGGACAAGATCGGACTTGACCTTCTGCTCAAGTTTGTCCAAAGGCTACCATTGAGATAGTCCTGACCGATGAGAACTTCATACAGAATCAGGCTCATTGACATAAGTAAATAAATGTAGGCTAGATCACAGAGTACAGAAATAACTTGCCCAACTTCAGCGTCATATTATTCAATCCATGTCTCCATATCTTAATTTCCTTATTCGTATAGTAAGTTCTTCTAGTAGATAACCTCTAAGATCCCTTCTGCCTCAACATCTTGGGATTGGGAGGGAGGGTCCCTTTTATGTGTTGGCAAAATATTGACCTCTTTAAATTCATTATCTCATGTAAATGATCACAATAGAATAGTAATTTTGACTCACAGAAGTTGAATAGTCTTTTAAAGAAAAAGGTAATTTAAATACAATAAATTCAAATCTTTCTGTGGTAGTGAATTACAACTTGGTGTTTTGATTTTTTTTGATAGCTGAAAATTGTTCAGGCTACTGTACCTGTAGTCATTGCTTGGAGCAACCAGGCTGTGGCTGGTGTACTGATCCCAGCAATACTGGCAAAGGGAAATGCATAGAAGGTTCCTATAAAGGACCAGTGAAGATGCCTTCACAGGGCCCTACAGGAAATTCCTATCCACAGCCTCTTCTCAATTCCAGCATGTGTCTGGAGGATAGCAGGTACAACTGGTCTTTCATTCACTGTCCAGGTAAGATGCCTTGTATATTCAAATGCAAATGTTTCACTATTTGCAAAGAATAAAACCTTGAAAGCTACATTGTTTTTTTGTAACTCCCTCTCCCCTCACTCTCAGTGATTGGTATAGGAAGGCATAGACCAGGAGCTGTTGCCCCTAAGCCTGGGCCTGGGCCTGGATCTGCTGGGGGTGAGAGTGGGTTCCTGAGAAACCAACTCTGAGAAATTGGTCTTTGATTCAGACTTGAAGTGACCACTCGGGAATGTGCTTGTGAGCTTCTAGAACAGTTGGGTGAGGCTGGATAGATGCAAAGACTACCAAGAGATTAGTGGGCAAGAACTTCTCCAAGAGCCTATCAGACAGTGCCATTGGCAACTGGGCTCTTTTTGAGGACTTCTTTATGGGAAAGTCCACTGTAAACAAAGGTAAAAGGCAAGAGACTGAGAGAAAATATCTGCAAAGTATATAAAAACTGAATATCATGAGTATGTAAGCCCCTGCCCTGCAGGAAAAAAAAGCTAAATGTCAACCCAACAGAAAAGGTGGGTAAGGGATGTAAAGAAGCCATTCTTAGAAAAGGAGATAGAACAAGAAAATGCAAAATAACATGAGAGAACAGTTTTTTGTCTGCTAAACTGGTTTAAATTTTCTGTGTTTCCTTTTTTCCTCTGAGATTGAGAGGATCTACAATTCTATGTCTAATCTACTAGAGATTAACCTTTAATGAAATATTTAAAGCTGTGTTTTTCCATTAATATCAAGAATATATCAGGTGATGACAACTCACAGAATGGGAGAAAATATTTGCAAATCATATGTTTGATAAGAGTCAAATGTCCAGAATACGTAACCCTTAAAACTCAACAATAAAAAGACAACCCATTAAGAAATGGGTAAAGGATTTAAATAACCATAACTCCAAAAAAGAAATACAAATAGCCAATAAGCACATGAAAAGATACTCAACGTCATTCGTCATTAGAGAAATGCAAGTTAAAACCACACGGAGAGGCCAGGTGCGGTGGCTCACACCTGTAATCCTAGCACTCTGGGAGGCTGAGGCAGGCAGATCGTTTGAGCTCAGGAGTTCAAGACCACCCTGAGCAAGAGCGAGACACCATCTCTACTAAAAAAATAGAAAGAAATTAGCTGGACAACTAAAAATATATAGAAAAAATTAGCCGGGCATGGTGGCACATGCCTGTAGTCCCAGCTACTTGGGAGGCTGAGGCAGGAGGATCCCTTGAGCCTAGGAGTTGGAGGTTGCTGTGAGCTAGGCTGATGCCACGGCACTCTAGCCAGGGCAACAGAATGAGACTCTGTCTCAAAAAAAACAAAAAAAACAAAAAACCACAGGGAGATACCACTTCACCCCTACTGAAATAGTTTTTTTTTTTTTTTTTTTTTGAGACTGAGTTTCACTCTGTTGCCTGGGCTAGAGTGCCATGGTATCAGCCTAGCTCACAGCAGCCTCAAACTCCTTGGGCTCAAGCGATCCTCCTGCTTTAGCCTCCCGAGTAGCTGGGACTACAGGCATGTGCCACCATGCCTGGCTAATTTTTTTCTATATATTTTTAGTTGGCCGCTTAATTTCTTTGTATTTTTAGTAGAGACAGGGTCTTGCTCTTGCTCAGGCTGGTTTTGAACTCCTGACCGTGGCCTCCCAGAGTGCTAGGATTATAGGCGTGAGCCACCTCACCCGGCCTACTGAAGTAGTTATAATCAAAAAAACAGATAATGGCAAGTATTGACAAGGATGTGAAGAAATTAGAGCCCTCATATATTGCTGGTTGAATTACTAAATTGTGTAATTGAGTAGCTACAGCTACTTTGGAAAACAGTTTGGCAGTTCCTCAAAAAGGTAAATACAGAGTTATCATATGGCCTAGCGATTCCACTTGTAGGTACATACGCAAAAGAATTGGGTACATATTTCACCCAAAAACTTGCACATGAATGCTCATAGCAGCATTATTCATAATAATAAAAATGAAAATAACCCTAATATCTATCTACTGGCATATGGATAAACAAAATGTGTTATATCCATACAATGGAATACTATTTGTGATTTTGGTGCAGTCATGACTGATGCAATCATTTTAAGTTTTAGAACTCAGTTATCTACATGGATAGGGTAGCTAACAGTGGGTATACAGAACAAGTCCAAGACTATGGGAAGTTACCAAGATGGTGAAAAACTGCATCACGTTGATCAGTTAAGACACATCTGCAGAATCAGAGATTTTGTTTACAGTGATGCAGGTTGTGTGCTATGTGAATGCCCACTCCCTACCCCTCGGAGTTCTGCAGTACACAGCCTGTGCAGCTGTCCTAAGCAGTCCTGAGAGTTCCAATCTTCATATACTTTTCTAGTTGTGAGGTCCTATACGCATCAGTAGTCTTAGTAGTCCTACTTGTGGAGATGTTTATATATAAAGATGGTTATTTTTCTAACAATGAAAAATTTAAAGCAAATGAAATATTAGAGCATATGGTTAAATAACTGTTAGGATTCATAGAAATCATTCTTCCATTTAAAGTTTTATTTATGATAAATGAAATAATGTGATAAAGTAATTGTAGTCTATGTTAAAAATCAAAATTGAATATTAATATGAACACAGCTGTGCAAAACTGTATAGAAAAATACTGGAAGAACAGATGCCAAATGTTTTTGTTTTTGGTTTTTTTTTTGGTTTTTTTTTTGAGACAGAGTCTCGGTTTGTTGCCCAGGCTAGAGTGAGTGCCGTTGCGTCAGCCTAGCTCACAGCAACCTCAAACTCCTGGCTCAAGCAATCCTGCTGCCTCAGCCTCCTGAGTAGCTGGGACTACAGGCATGCGCCACCATGCCCGGCTAATTTTTTGTATATATATTAGTTGACCAATTAATTTCTTTCTATTTATAGTAGAAACGGGGTCTCACTCCTGCTCAGGCTGGTTTCGAACTCCTGACCTTGAGCAATCCGCCCGCCTCGGCCTCTCAGAGTGCTAGGATTACAGGCGTGAGCCACCGCGCCCGGCCCAGATACCAAATGTTAACCATGGTATCTGGGTGGTGGGATTGTATATGATTTCCCCCCATCCTTATATTTTTCATAAGATAAAATATATTTTTCAAATATACTATCGTAAGCATATGTTATTTTTTACAATTAATAACAACAAAAATTATTTTTTAATATTGCTATGGGCTATCACCTTACTATGATATATTGCTGATTTGCCTGGACTAGCTCTTTTTTGATATTTTGATCTTATTTTTCAAACTAGTTTTTAGTGGGACAGTGTTGATGATTTTATATTTAGACGCAGTAGAACTTAAAGAGATAGTTGTTGAACACAGTTCTGGCATGGGATAGGCCCCTTGAAATTCTTTTTCTTCTAGCCTGCCAATGCAACGGCCACAGCAAATGCATCAATCAGAGCATCTGTGAGAAGTGTGAAAACCTGACCACGGGCAAGCACTGCGAGACCTGCATATCTGGCTTCTATGGTGATCCCACCAACGGAGGGAAATGTCAGCGTAAGTCAGATTGGTCAGGTTTATTGATGGCAAATCCATATGGAACACGATACTTCTGTTTGACTTGAATATGTAGGAAGAGAAAAGCCACACTGTTTTGAATACTGCATTTCTTATTAAGTCATACTTGTCAGGGGCTGATCTGAGCTGAGAGTGGAAGCTGAGCTGCCAGGTATGGGAGTAGCTGGTTAAAGCAACAAGTCAAATATGAATTAAGCCTTTAATCACATTCCGCAGTGATATAAGAAAGGGGCCCAAACCAGAGAATGCACTGACTCTAAGTGCCCCGTTCCCCCCCCCAAAAAAAAAACAGTGCACCAGTCAAGGGTTAGGTGGATCAGCTTAGACTTGAGGGTCTGGGGGGTTATCTCATTGTCGGGGGAGCCCCAAACAAAAGGCTCTAGCAGTATTATGAATACTCAGGTTGCAGGGAGGTTGCAAGGAGGAAGGGCTAGGAGTAGGAAAGTAGGAGTAGGTACTGAGTCAGAGTGGGGAATGTGTCTTCAGGGTTGCCCTCTCCTGCCCTCATAGCAGAGGCACCTGAAGAAGACTTCTGCCCAAGGCCTCAGATATGGAGACCTAGGAATGAAGACTGCAGGGGCTAGGAGTGTAAATATATGAAAGAGCATGTCCGATAAGGGGCCTGAGTCCTTGACTGCAACTTCCTGGGAGATTCTGTACTGCTGTGTGTGCTACAAGTCTGCCCTGGGGAGGGCAGCCTTCCCCTGAGGCAGCGAGATGAAGCCTGTGTCATTGACTGTGTCAGGCCTGAACAATCACAGTTTTTTTTTTTTTTTTTTGAGACAGAGTCTCGCTTTGTTGCCCAGGCTAGAGTGAGTGCCATGGCGTCAGCCTAGCTCACAGCAACCTCAAACTCCTGGGCTCAAGCAATCCTCCTGCCTCAGCCTCCCGAGTAGCTGGGACTACAGGCATACACCACCATGCCCAGCTAATTTTTTTTTTCTATATATATTAGTTGGCCAATTAATTTCTTTCTATTTATAGTAGAGACGGGGTCTCGCTCTTGCTCAGGCTGGTTTCAAACTCCTGACCTCGAGCAATCCGCCCACCTTGGCCTCCCAGAGTGCTAGGATTACAGGCGTGAGCCACCGCACCCGGCCAATCACACAGTTTTTTAACCAAAAGCCAGACTCCTCAATACTTCAGTATATTTAAAAGATTTAAATAGTCCCATGTTTTCCCATTCATGTTCAACAGAAGCCTGCAAGCATTATAACATTTTATTATTAGAACATAAATTCTACTCTTTTTTTTGGAGGCAGGGTCTCACTCTGTCACTTAGGCTGGCATATAGTGACGCAATCATAGTTCACTGCAGCCTCAAACTCCTGGGCTCAAGTGATCCTCCCACTCAGCCTCCTAAGTAGCTAGGACTACAGGTGCAAGCCACCACGCACAGCTAATTTTTTTAAAAGTTTTTGTAGAGACATAGTTTCACTATGTTGCCCAGGCTGGTCTTGAACTCCTGGGCTTAAGCCATCCTTCCGCCTTGGCCTCCCGAAGTGCTGGGATACAGGCATGAGCCACTGTGCCCAGCCATAAGTTCTATTTTTAAAAATGACAGACACTGGTGAACTGATTTTTGATTTGTTCTAGTTTCCAACTAAAAAAATATAATGAATCCTTTAGTTAAAAGACTAAGTTCTGATCAGGGGAAATAAATATAATAACACAGGAAATTTCTACCTACTCCCCAGATCCCACTTCCAGACTCCTAAACATGGCTCTTTAGAATATGATCCCAGACCAGCCAGGAGAGAGGTAATGTTCGACCTCTATGTCCCTTACTCTGTCTGGGGTTCACTTTCCTGATCTGTAAAATGGGGATAATAGGGTGGTTGTTGAGATTAAAGCATTCAGAACAGTGCATGACACATACTCAACACTCAGCAGATATGAGCAATTATCATTACCCTTCTGATGTCATTTCCCACTATTCCTAAATAAAATTTCTTGTTCATATTAAAAAGTATTCAGTAAAAATATTTTCCCTACTCCTTATGAATAGAATTTATCCATTAGATGATAACCAGAGCACCTAATATTGTGGAGTTGATAGATGTGTACAAGACATTGTGCTGACAGCTACTCAAAACAAGGGTGCGTTTATTATCCCCAAGATCAAGTCACCTGCCCAAGGTCTCACAGCAAGCTGTGGCCAAGCTGAGAACCACATGCAGTATGTGTTGACCTTAACTACTAGGCTTGGTTTCACCTCCAGGTATCGTCATCCACATATCTGCAGCTGCCCTCTAGAAAAACCAGATTTTCCTCCATCATATCTATAGGGCCTGAGTATAATTGTCCAGAACATAGAGCTTGCTTTATTTTTTCAGAGCCTAACCCACAATACAAAGCATGGTTTTAAAATACTGCAAGTAACACCAAATCTTTAATGTTTTCTTCTTTAAATTGTGTAGTCCTTAGCTAAAGATAATAGCCACAATTTATTGAGTGCTTACTGTTTTCAGTATCATACACATATTATCATTTAATCCTCACAACAACCCTATAATATAGGTCCTGTTGTTATCCCCATTATATAGACAAGGAAGGTGAGATTCAGAACAGTTAAATGGCGTGCCCAAAGTTACAGAAGAGCCAAGTGGAGGACACTGGATTCAAACCCAGGCAAACTGACTCAGGCCTTTGCTTTCTACTAATACACTGCACACTCCCCAGACTCAACAGAGCCAAGAGTTGAACACTTGTGTTTCTGACTCCAGCATCTATTCTGTTAGTGTCTGCACTATTCTGTTTTATAGGTTTCTTTAGATGACTTTTTTTCCTCCGAAGCATTTATTTTTTCTTTATTTTTTTGAGACAGAGTCTTACTCTGTCACCCAGGCTAGAGTTCTGTGGCATCAGCCTAGCTCACAGCAACCTCAAACTCCTGGGCTCGAGTGATCCTTTTGCCTCAGCCTCCCAAGTAGCTGGGAGTGTGGTGTGCACCACCACACCTGCCTAAATTTTTTTTTCCTATTTTTGGTAGAGATGGGAGCTTGCTCTTGTTTAGGCTGGTCTCAAATTCCTGACCTCAAACGATCCTCTTGCCCTGGCCTCCCAGAGATTTAGGATTTCAGGCGTGAGCCATCATGCCCAGTCCACAGCATTTATTTTAAAAGTACACCTCACATTGCTTGAGTCTAGGAGTTTGAGGCTGTAGTGAGATACGATCACACCACTGCATTGGAGCCTTGGGTGACAGAGTGAGACCGTGCCTATAAAAAAAAAAAAAAGTACATCTCTCTGCAGCTTACTGCCTTTAATTTACTCACAGAAAAACAGGGTGTAAAGTGAAAAGATATTGAGCAAAAAGACTTTAATTTATTTCAACTGGAGTATAAAATTTATCATAGTTTATATTACATGTTGAATGAAAAAAGGTAGAGATATGTTGAGATGGCCAGAGGAGGGGGATGGGAAGAGTCATTTTCAGTAAAGGCAAAAAAGAGGGTGGGACAAGGGTGATGAGCCCTGAGGCCTCTAAAATGCTGACCCTTAGTTCCAAGCCCTGTTGGGGCTCAAAATAGGGCCCTATGGAGAAGCTGAGGCAGAGAGCAGCCAAACCAACCCTCCCCTCAGAGGGCAGTTGTCTCCAGAGTGTCTCCGTGGGCCAGGGACTGTGTCTGTGTCCCCAACCAGCATCTGGCACACTAGAGATGCCTCATAAGTATTCATTGAATGACTGAAAGAATCATGGTAGTGAAAAAGAGAGTATGAAACGATCAAAATAGTGATTGCCACAGGTGGCAGTGGGAAAACCAGCATTCTCTGTCATTCTGTCCTTTGACTTTGGTTCCTTATTGTTGCCTTTACATTATTGTCATTGTCTGAAAAATCATGACTCTTACCCATTAAACGCTCTTACTTTGACCTGTCTTTCCTATCAAACCCAATTCAGATAAGATTATTCATTTTGGAAGAAATCTGATAGTTATAATCTTTTCTGCCAGTTGTGATCCCCCCCCTTTCTTTTCCCTTCTCTCTAGCATGCAAGTGCAATGGGCATGCGTCGCTGTGCAACACCAACACTGGCAAGTGCTTCTGTACCACCAAAGGCGTCAAGGGGGACGAGTGCCAGCTGTGAGTACCACACTCCCTCTACCACTAAGGAGGGCTGAAGGGCTGTACAGCTGCCGAGAACCCCACCCCAAGAGCCACCCCCTTCTCTGTGCCTTGTTGCCATTGGCTGCCATTGCCAGGGAGAGATCCCTGGGTTGATTACTTTGAAATGTCACCCTTTCTACTTTAGACAGGTCAACCCCAAAACTAAGGAGGTTGTCAAGTTAGTAGCAGTTCCTTAATGGTGCCTTAATTCGCATTTTTATGTTTGAGTGATACAGACACTTCCTCGGTTGCTAATTTGGGTTAGTCGTCCTACCTGCAGCAACTACTTGATTTTTGTCATGTCAAGAGATCACATTCTTTCCCAAAGGATAGAATTGGAAGAGCTGGTGTTCCAGTGATGGTGTCTTTTTGGCATTTTGGTTGTCTGATACTGGATATGATCTTCTTGCCTGTAACATCCCTCCCTGCTCTTGCCTTTTCCTTGGTGACATCTGTTAAGCATATTCCAGAGGTGTCCGCATCCATGAGGATGCAGGCTTGGCATCAGACACACTTAAGGTTTCAGGCCTGGCCCTGCCTCCCTGAGCAGGGTGTTCTTGAGGCAAATCACTGAACCATGTTGATCCTCAGTTTCCCCATTTATCAACAGTAGGACTAGCCGTAATTATTTTCAGCGTCCTGGTAAGTTGAAACAAAAGAGATTGTTCCCCTGTTAATATATACTTGTCTGCCTATTGAAAAGCCTTATAAAACACATGTATCCAGGTTTACTCATTGTCTAGAAAGACTTAAGAGAGAAGTGTTTGGTATCAAAACATGGAGCTGATACAAGCAGATATATAACTGTAAACTTTGTTTTTCTCAAAGAACAATAGTTATTAATGCCACCAACGATTGAGACATTGATAGCGGTATTGGTCTGTCTACACTTCATAGTTTGTATCAGTGAATATACTAGTTTCATGCTACCCTAAAGCCAATATATTACATTTAACTTTTGGACCTTTATTCTTTTAAACAGAAAAATGTGATGAAGTTAACTACTTTTGCCCTCAGGTGACACAACAAAGACATGAGGTCCAATGAAAGACTTTTAAGTTCCTTCAAGAGATTGTAGATATAAGCAAGTGCTAATAATCACCATGGATAAAAGGACACAATATCCCTGTCATATCTTACCTGGGAAAAGTGCTTCACCCAAGCTTTCCTTGCCTTTCCTCCTAGTTCAAAGCTGTTGGGCTTGCCAAAATGGCTTTGTGAAGTGGGCAACTGGGTTTTGCTGATGTTCATAGATGATATTTACAGGGAAATTAATCGTTTTTTGAGTAGAACTTATTTTTTTCTGCAGACTGGTGAACACTTGTTCGAGGATTTTAAAGAAAGGATTCTTGGTATTTAATCTTGTCTCACTTGTGTTTAAAGAACAGGATCAGTTTATCCAGGGAGAATAGGAAAGAAGTGAAAAATGAATATTTGACAAATATTTTGACTACGCTTTAGAAGAATATGTAGTCCACACAAAAGTGAAAATGTGTCTTTCATTATAATAAATAGGGTCTAGATTTATTACATTTGGGTTTCTCTCATGTGCTTTGGCAGATGCTTGTCAGTTGTTCTCATATAGTTGGTGTGTGGGCTGCCAAGCAGTCAGCATTGAAAATTCACAGTCTGTCCCTGGTCCACCTGAACTGAGTGACACTGGAGAATGCAATTATAATGACTCCAAACTCTCTGTACTTTATATTAAAAGGATCTGCTTAGTTTTAAAATGAATGTAGATTCTGTTTCAAATAGCAGCATAAAGTAATTTTCATTTTTTCTCCTAGATGTGAGGTAGAAAATCGATACCAGGGAAACCCTCTGAAAGGAACATGTTATTGTAAGTGTTTTTGCAATTCTTATTTCTAGAAGCAAAGTAGTTTAGGAAAACTTCATTGTTTTCTTAACATGGTTTGAGAATGGTAAGTGCTATTGGAATACAGCAACCACCCATGGAAGTGTCCCCTGATGCGTTTACGTTCTCTTAAGTTTACTGCATATACGAGTGCTATTTTAAACTGTTTTAATTGTGGTCACAGTTGCTGTTAATACATTTATAGCAGATAGCAAGGGAGAGGACAGAGACAAGCAACTCTGGCTTTCTTTGTTTATATTCTCTTGATACCTTCATTTGCCATTACCTGGTTCATACCGTCATGCTTCATATTTTAAGATACATATCAAAAACCAGAATTCTTAAAATATAATTGAAATTTCATTATTCTCTTTAGAACTGATTTGTGTTAACCACCTTGGAATAAAAAGTGAATCTGGCGAGGTGACCAGGTTTTTATGGGTAAATGCATTTTCTCCGTATAGAACAATCCACTTGGTGGGCCCCATTATGGAATTAGAGAAACAGGAGTTAATGGATTCTCTGTTGTAAATATATACCTGCTATGCTGAGTTGAATAACATCCTCTCAAAATTCATGTCTACTTGGAACCTGTGAATGTGACTTTTATGTATATAAAACTTTTCAAAGAAGACAGGAGAAAAACTTTTGACCTTTGGTAGGGAAGAGTTCTTAGATACGATTCTAAAAACACAATTTGTAAAAAAAAAGTTGATTAAGGAGACTTTATCAAAATTTAAAACTTGTATTTTTTTAAAAGACCATTATAAAAATAAAAAAGCAAGCCACAGACTAAAGAAAATATTTGCAAATCATATATTTGATTCAGAGCTTGTATCCAGAATATATAAAGAACTCTTACAACCGAATGAGAAGACAATTCCAATTAAAAACAGGCAAAGATTTGAACAGACATTTCACCAAAGAAGATATAGCAGTGGCCAGTAAAGCACATTAAAAAATACTTTACATCATTAGTCATTTGGAATAGGCATATTAAAACAACAGTGAGATACAGCCATAGGATAACTAGAATCAAAAGCTAACTAATACTTAATAGAAGACAATTGTAATCTCACGTCTGCTCCTGCATTCAAACTGTTGCAATGGTTAAATACATGAAAAAAACCTGGCCTCGCCAGACATGTAGTTGGAAAAAGGACAGAGTATTTTAATGGCCTTTTCAGATAAGTGTAGATGTTATCCTTTGATACCATACTAAAACCACACAACTGATCATTTCTTAAAGCTTAGTTGAAAGGAGGAAGTGGAAAACACATTAGTGAATTTTTTGTAATCTGGTACATTAAAATCTGTTTATCCTGTGAATTTAAAAAAGCCAACAGCAAGTTTTAGCAAGGATGTTGAGAAACTGGAACCTTCATGCATTGCTTGTGGCAATATAAAATAGTGTAGCCACATTGTAAAACCGCTCAGCACCTATGTGTCCACTTAGGTGCTGCTACAGTAATAGGGTATTGGGCAGGTGGGAGGGGGGAGGGGGGCGGGTATATACATACATAGTGAGTGAGATGTGCACCATCTGGGGGATGGTCATGATGGAGACTCAGACTTTTGGGGGGAGGGGGGGAAATGGGCATTTATTGAAACCTTAAAATCTGTACCCCCATAATATGCCAAAATAAAAAAATAATTAAAAAAAAAAAAAAAAACAAAAAAAAAACCGCTCAGCATTTTCTTAGACAGTTAAAAATAAACTTACCAATAACTTCCCATTTCTCCCTCCCTCTAACTCCTGGCAACCACCGTTATACTTTCTGTTTCTATGAATTTGAGTCTTATAGGCGCCTCATCTAAGTAGAACCATATTGTATTTATCTTTTTGTGACTAGTTTATTTCACTTAGCATAATGTGTCAAGGTTCATTCATGTTGTAGCATATGTTAGAATTTCCTTCCTTTTTAAGGCTAAATTGTTGTATGCACCTACTACATTTTGCTTATCCATTCATCTGTCAATGGACACTTGGGTTGTTTCTACCTTTTGGCTGTTATGAATAATGCTGCTGTGAACATGGGCATACAATTATCTGTTTGAGTCCCTGCTTTCAATTCATTTGGGTATATACCCAGAAGTATACTTGCAGGATTATGTCATAATTCTATTTTTCATTTGTTGAGGAACTACCATACTGTTTTCTGCAGCAGCTGCACTATTTTACATTCCTACCAACACTGCACAGGATTCCAGTTTTTCCACATCCTCACCTCATTTGTTATTTTCTAGTTTTTATAGTAGCCATCCTAATGGGTGTGAAATGATATCTCATTGTGGTTTTTGATTTGCATTTCCCTAATGCTCAGTGGTATTGAGTATCTTTTCATATGCTTATTGGCCATTTGTATGTCTTCTTTGGGAAAAAAATCTATTTATAAGTCCTTTGCCCATTTTTAATCAGGTTGTTTTTTTGTTCTTGAATTGTATATTAAGATTTTTTCAAATTAAATTATGGCAACTTTGGTCAGTAAGCTCTCTTTCAAGCTGTGTCTTTTTTACTACAGCACATTCTTCTTTGAGTGCTTTCTTTCTTTCTGGAATAAGATAACCAAGGCTTATATTCCTTGCCCTAGAACTAGAATCAACCATATTTCCATGGAGTCTTTGTTTCTATTACACATTAATTTATATCTTTGTAACAGTAAGCAAAACTTAGCATGTAACGTATGTTCACCTAATACTTGAAGGTGACTTCATTTGGAGCATAAAATCTCTACCAGGGTCATGATATAAGGAGGGCATAGTGGGTTAACCCAAATAAAATGATACTGCCCGTAGACTTGATTTTCTTTGAAAAACCTAGATATAGATGAGTCAAAGTGCTTTTCTGGTTATTAGATTTATGAGAAAAGCCGTCTGTATCTCTAGAGACCTGTTCTATTTTTTTTTTTTTCAGTTTTTAAATATTCATTTTTTTCTTTCCATAGATACTCTTCTTATTGACTATCAGTTCACTTTTAGCCTGTCCCAGGAAGATGACCGCTATTACACAGCCATCAATTTTGTGGCTACTCCTGATGAAGTAAGATTTTTTAAAGTTTGCCTATTTCATTTTAAATTTGTTTGGATCTTTTTCTTGGTCATTAGGGGTAGAAGTGTACTGCCTTGGCAGTAGTCTCCAGAGTGGAATACACCGGATGATCTTTAGGGGTACAGGAAAGAAATGTTAGAATCTGCATTTTGTTTCCTTTCTATCTAAAAGGTGTTGATAAAAGTTACCAGGATCTGAGAGATGGACTGACATTGATTCCATGCACACTTGGTTTGCATGTCAGCCCATTTCAGCCCCATGCAGAAAGGGAGAGGAGATTGTAAGGGGAGCTCCACCATCAGAGGGCAGATGGCAGGGCCTAGGTTTACTCCCTCAAAACTGACCAGAGGCTTAAAAAGCACCTGCAAAGACACTGTCGATTGAAATGCCAGTGATGTTGAGCACTAGTAGATAGCAAGGGAGGTAGCAGAAGTGACACCTGTGCTTCTAGAATGAGTTCTTAGCATCATGAGGTAAAACAGCAAAGGATTAGTTGGGTCCAAGAAGAGGTTGTCCAGGATAATTTAAATTGTTAAAGCAACTATTTGAAATGTAGATTTCTATCACTGTCATTAATGATGAAGCCCAACCTGCCACACAGTATCACCTAGTAGTAGAGGGAAGCCACCACAGCATGACATTTAAAATTAAAGCATCCAGGCATGAAGACACACCTATACAGTTTCTTTAGTGAGATACAAAGTCATCCAGTAGCCACTCTAATGCTTAAAGAAATTTTACTGAATGTGATGGTAAATTATTTACGAGCCTCCTTAGAGGTTTCTTTTCATCAAGATGCACAAAGCCATTTACCATTATAAAATTTCACTCACAATAAAAGTGACAGATAATAACATGGAAAACGATATGGCAGTAAGCCAGAGTATATTCCTTTGTTGACAGATATTATCAATAAACATTGCTGAATGTTTTTCAAAAGTAGTAGATCAAAGTCCATGGTGTGGTATATCTACTACACAATTAAGTAAAAGTAGAGTTTGTGTTTAATACTCCATTTCAATGGTAAAGGAAAGACGTACTAGAGAAGATACATTCTCAAGAGTGCCTGGCTGTTTAAGTGAAGATAATAAATGATTTCAAATGAAAATATTTTATGGAAAAACTATGGTGTATCATTTGAGTGGGTGTGTTAACTGGAATTTTTTTTAAAAAGATTGGTAAGATTATAGCAAAAATATCACACGTGAAATTTATTCACTGCCTCATTCATGAGCAAGTGGGTAAAATGCTCAAAGTCTTTCAGGATGTAGTTGATGTTAATTTTATTTTTTAAAACAAATAAATATATTAGAATCTTTGTAATATTTAACAAGTTGGGAAGTGACCATACAGGGCAGACTGTAGGACTTGAGTATGCTCAGATTTTGGTACAATGGGTAGAAGGGGTGGTGTTTGGAACCAATTGCCCGTGTGTACCCAGGGATGACTATAATTGTTAGTTGTGGGCTGCCAGCAAATATTTGATATAAAACACTTGAGCTGTTCTTTCAAGGCAAACATGAGGTTTTATCAGTAAATGAGAAGGTTAACTGCTTTGTGAGAGAAACTTCTGGTTTGGAGGTTGTACTTTGGAAATGTATCTATTGTTGTGATTTTGTGATCACAAAAACTATCAAAACAACACCCTAAAAGTCTTAATTTTTTAACCTGTTTTAAGATCTTTTAAAATGAATTTTGAGACAGTTGGATCCATCTGTGAAATATAAAATACAACATTGAGTTTGCAAAAATAATTATTTGACTCTAAAGTAAATTATACTAGTACTTTGAATTGCTGTGTCTCTAAGCGTTAAACAAGGTTTTCAAAGCTAAGAAAGCATACTCGTTCATATTTCATTTGAAATATATTTTTAGTGAGACAAAAATGTTTTTCAAATCATAAATGAATATAGTCAAATTATTTTTAAGATTTAGTTTATTTCAGCTTTATATGCTTTTTTTTGTTTGTTTTTTGTTTGTTTGAGACACAGTCTCACTGTTGCCAGGCTAGAGTGTCATGGCGCTAGCCTAGCTTACAGCAACCTCAAACTCCTGGGCTCAAGTGATCCTTCTGCCTAAGCCTCCTGAGTAGCTGGGACTACAGGCATGCGCCACCATGCCCAGCTAATTTTTTTCTATATATATTAGTTGGCCAATTAATTTCTTTCTATTTATAGTAGAGGCAGGGTCTCGCTCTTGCTCAGGCTAGTTTTGAACTCCTGACCTCGAGCAGTTCGCCAGCCTCGGCCTCCCGGAGTGCTAGGATTATAGACGTGAGCTACTGCGCCCGGCCCCAAAATTTTAAAAATTAGCCGGGCACGCTAAGGCATGCCTATAGTCCTAGATACTTAGAAGGCTGAGGCAGGAAGATCACTTGAGCCCAGGAGTTTGAGACCAGCCTGGGCAACATAGTGAGTCCTTATCTCTAATTAAAAAAAAAAAAAAAATAGCTGGGTGTGGTGGCATGCGCTTGTAGTCTCAACTATCCAGGAGGCTGAGGCAGGAGGATCACTTGAGCCCAGGAGTTGGAGGTTGCAGTGAGCTATGATGATGCCACTGCATTCTTGCTGGGGTGACAGAGCGAGACTCTGTCTCAAAAAAAGTAAATAAAATAGATAAAATCTAAAAACTATTATAATTAATTTTCTAATTATTTACACCTCTCATTAGCAAAACAGGGATTTGGACATGTTCATCAATGCCTCCAAAAACTTCAACCTCAACATCACCTGGGCTGCCAGCTTCTCAGGTAATAACACACCTAGAGAAGACCCTCTAAGTGGAGGTAATAGATTAAAAAATATAATATAGGAATTGAGAAAGGAGCTCTGGAGACAGACAGATTGGTTTGAAACCCACCTTTTGCTATTACTTATGAGGTATTAGACCTTGAACAAGCACCTAAACCCCTCTCTAGACCTTAGGATTATTCAGCTGTAGAGTGAGGATAACAATATTTACCTCCTAGAATTGTTGTATGGATTAAATTAGGTTATACCTGCCAGAGTTGACCAAGATGTCAGGCTCTGTGTGGTTACTGCCCCTACCCTACTGCCACCACTTGTACCCTTACTGTGCCCACTGCCATTAGATGGCCACTGGCATTATCTACATCTATGCTTAAGAAGTGAAAAATTCAAATGACTCTGAGTTTCAAGAAATGAAAACATTTTAGATAAAGTGAGATTGTAGTACGTGTAGAGAAATGTACTTTGGGAATTAAATTAGCTCTAAAATTATAGCTTTAGCTATATCTTGTTTGTCTTACTGTAATTGATTGAAGATCTGCTGGGTAGAAAACCTAAAGAAATAAAGGATGACCTTGATGTAGTGGTTAAGACAGATAACCACAACTTAACTTGGTAACTCAACAGATAGATCTAATTTGAATTCTGCCCTTTATTTACTTGCACTTTTGGGCAAGTTACTTAATTAAGCTTTCTGAGCCAGTTTCCTCATGTGTGAGGTGGGATAATAAAAACACCTAGCTACATAGAGTGTTGCAAGGATTAAATGAGATAATAAATTATTCAGTGTAATACTTGAAACATGGTAAACTCTTATTGAAGCAAGGTAAATTCTTACTAAATGGTAGCCATGTTTCATCATAATTATTACTGTTGCAATACTGATGTTTTTTGTCAAAACACAAACCTATTAGGTGCAAAATAAGAATATTGCTTTTTGATGCCATTTTATGTTTTATGTTTATCTTGTCTTTAAAGACTGTAAAATTCAGAAGAAATTCAGATACTTACAATGAGGAGAGATTTTTAAGAAAACATCCAATTATCAGAGTATTCTTCTGGAGAAAGGCAGTGTCTCTGAACATGTGAAAGATTCGCATTGAGTGTCTCATTAAAGATAGTATAGTCTGGGTTCTAGTCACAGGGTCTAACTCAGATGTGGGAAAAAAGTCCATTTAATGAGTCTTTATAGACAGTTGAATTCCTGGCTGAGGGAAAATATGGAATGTTAAAGGGCTGTCTGGGAATAGGTAGAGTTATACCAGATTGGGGGACTTTAATACAGTCCCCCAATAGCTGGTGGTAGAATGGGGGATTGAGTGACCCCTTGAACCCCTTCCTCCCTATTCCTGTTGAAAATTGAGGCCACTGCTTAGGTTAGGATGTGAGGGCTGAATGAGTGTCCTTGTGGGGGTCTGGAGCATTATCAAGAGCTGTAAAAGAGAAATACACAGGAATTGAAGTGTTATGGCCAGAGTGAATGCCAGTGCTTGTTAATAGGATTCTAATGGTATCTCTATTTAACCTGTTTCAGTGGGATGGCCAACGGGGAGTTGCAGGGGTTCCTGGTAAAACCATTCTGGTTAGGGGCACAGGCTTGTGTGTCATCCCGCCCAGCTTTAGGTCCCAGCTCCATTATGTGACATAAGGCAAGTTAATTAGTTTCTCTGAAACTTAGTTTCCTAACCTGTAACTGAGGATAATAATAGCATTGTTGTGAGGATTCAGTGACATTGAGCTCTTGAAGGCTGTTCTTGGAAGATAGTAAGAATTCAATAAATGCTAACTATTATCCTTATTATTAATGAGAGCAGATTGTGTTTTAAAAAAAGTCTCTTCTGTGTCATTCTTTTCTTTCTAACAGCTGGAACCCAGGCTGGAGAAGAGATGCCTGTTGTTTCAAAAACCAACATTAAGGAGTACAAAGATAGCTTCTCTAATGAAAAGTTTGATTTTCGCAACCACCCAAATATCACATTCTTTGTTTATGTCAGTAATTTCACCTGGCCCATCAAAATTCAGGTAAGAAGTGCTTTTTGGTCTCCTACCTGCAAAAATGGTGAAATCTCTGTAGTATAGACTAAATTCACTAATTTGGAACTTGTGGTAAATGTAATGTGCGATGTTGCTTTGCCTTTGTAACATCTATGGCAAAGGAATGCTATGCATATGTAACTGTAAAGAAGATTGTATTGGGGATCATTTATATCACTTCTGAAGGAAATTTATAAGCACTTTTGAAAGCAAGTTGACATATAACAATTGGGTAATTACAAACATACTCATTTCTTCATTGAGCACTTGCCATATAAAACCTTATAGGGCTACAGGAAGTGCTCAATTCTGGAGAGAGTAAGGTGGGTATAAATGAAACTAACACACGTATAACCAGTGAAAGCCAGGGTGTGGACGTATGAGAAGTTCCCAGAAGTGCTGTCAGAGTTTAGAGGATATGCTGACTTCTTTTCTTTTGAATATCTGCCTAGCAGTGGAATTGCTGGATCAGATGGTAGCTCTATTTTTAGTTTTTTGAGGAACCTCCATACTATTTTGTCATAATAGCTATACTAATTTACGTTCCCATCAACAATGTGGTAGCATTTCGCTTCCCTCTGCATTCTTGCCAGCATCTGTTATTTTTGTCTTTTTGATAATACCCATTTTAAGTGGGGTAAGATGATATCTCATTGTGTTTTTTATTTGCATTTCCCTGATGATTAGCGATATTGAGAATCTTTTCATATGCCTGTTGGCCATTTGTATGTCTTTTGAGAAATGTCCAGTCAGATCATTTGCCCATTTTTAAATAGGATTATTTGTTTTTTTTGCTATTGAGTTGTTTGAATTCCTTGTATATTCTGGTTATTAATCCCTTGTCATATTTCCAAATGAGGCCACATTCTGAGAAAAAAATCAAGAAAAATAAAATATTTAAATAAAATTAAATATAATAATTAAACTAAAAAATAAAAGAAAAGAAAATCCCTCGTCAGATGGGTAGTTTACAAATATTTTTTCCCATTCTGTGTTTTGTCTCTTTGTTGATTATTTCCTTTGCTGTGCTGAAGCTTTTTAGCTGTATGTCCATCTCTCAACTTACATATATGGTATACTTCTAATGTTCATTCACTAATTCAACACCCAAAATGTATTATTTCTAGTAAATAATATTATAAATTGTGTTAATAGCATCAAGCCAACAACCAAAAACTTTGAATAATGTTTTTTTGCTATAAGAACCCAAACCATTATGTTTACTATGGGAATATATTTATGCTTCCAAATTTGTATAACCCGTATTTCTAAGGTGGTTGTAACTTGGAAATCCCATTTATCTGTTTTTGCTTTGGTTGCCTGTTCTTATAAGGTCTTATGCAAAAAAAATCTTTGCCCAGAACAATGTCCTGGAGCGAAATTTCCCCAGTGTTTTCTTCTAGTAGTTTTACAGTTTCAGGTCTTAGATTTAAATCTTTAATCCATTTTGACTTGGTTTTTGTGTATGGTGAGAGATAGGAGTCTAGTTTTATTCTATATATAATCCTTTTTTGTATTCCAATGTTCATAACATCATTATTTATAATAGCCACAGGTGGAAACAACCCAAATATCTATCAGCAGATGAATGTATAAACAAAATATGGTATATTTGTACAATGAAATATTATTTGCCTTAAAAAGGAATGAAATTCTGATACATGCTATAATACAGGTAAACCTTGAAAACATTATCTAAGTGAGATAAGTCATTCACAAGAAGATAGATATTATATGTTTCCACTTACTTTAAACATCTAGAATATACAAATTCATAGAAAGTAGATTAGAGGTTACCAGTGGGTCAGGGGTACAGGAAATTGGGAGTTATTGCTTCATGACTATTACAGAGTTTTTGATTAGGGTGATGAAAAAGCTTTGGAAATGATAGTAATGATAGTTGCACAACAATTGTGAATGTAATTGTTGCCATTGAATTGTATCCTTAAGAAATGGTTAAAATAGACTGGATGTGGTGGCTCAGGCCTGTAATCCCAGCACTTTGGGATGGGAGGATCTTTTGAGGCCAGGAGTTTAGGACCAGCCTGAGTAAGAGCGAGACGCCATCTCTACTAAAAATAGAAAAATTAGCCAGGCATGGTGGCACACACCTGTAGTCCTAGCCACTCAGGAGGCTGAGGCAAGAGGATAGCTTGAGCCCAGGAGTTTGAGGCTGCAGTGAGCTATGACAAGGCCACTGCATTCTAGCCTGTGTGACAGAGCAAGACCCTGTCTCAAAAAAAAAAAAGGGTTAAAATAGTTAATTTTTATGTTGTATGTATCTTGCTACAATAAAAACAAGTTTTAAAAAATCACAGCAAGGTAGTTCTGTAGATATAAACAAGCTTATTCTATAATTTATATGAAAAGGCAAAGGTTCTAGATGTAATAATTTTGAAAAAGAAGAATAAAATGAAGGAATCTCTGTACCCAATGTTAAGACTTATTATTTAGGTACAGTAATCAAGACATTGTGGTTATTGGTAGAATGATAGACACATATAGATAAATAGAAGCACATAGATATGTCCAACTGATTTTTGACAAAATTGCAAAGGCAAATTAATAGAAGAAGGATAGCCTTTTCAACAAATAGTGCTAGAGCAATTGGACAATTATTATTCACACGCAAATAAATGAATTTCAATCTAAACTTCACATCTTATGCAAAATTAACTCAGTCACAGATTTAAATGTAAAACGTAAAACTGTGAAACTCTCAGAAAAAAATATAGAAGAAGATCTTTACATTCTAGGGCTAAGCAAAAAGATTTTATATTTGATACCAAAAACATGATCATCCATAAAAGGAAAAATTAATAAATTGGACCATATCAAAACCAAAAATTTTTGCTCTGTAGAAAAACCTTGTTAAGAGGTTGAAAAGACAAGCTATGTACTGGGAGAAAATATTTGCAAAACATTTCTTTTTTTTTTTTTTTTTTTTTTGGGACTGAAGGTGTATTGCTAGCAAAACATTTCTGAAAGAGCACTTGTATCTAGAATATAAGAAGAACTCTTGAAACTTTTAACAGTAAAGAAACAAATAATCCAATTAGAAAATGGGCAAAAGTAATGAAAAGATATTTCACCAAAGAGGATGTACCTATGGCAAATAACCACATAAAAGATGTTCAGCATCAATAACCATTAGAGAAATGCAAATTAAAACCATGATGAGATACCACTACATACCTATTAAAATGACTAAAATGAAAAATAGTAATAACACCAAATATTCGAGAGGATAGGAAGAAATTATATCACTCGTACACTGCTGATAGGAATGTAAGATGATGGTACAGCCACTCTGAAAGATAGTTTGGCATTATCTTATGAAACTAAATTTGTACTTACTATACAACCCAGCAGTTGCATTCTGGGGCATATATTCCAGGGAAATGAAAAAAATGTTCACACAAATGCCTATACACCAATGTTCATAGCATCTGTACAACAATCAGTATTGCAGCTTTCTTCATAACAGCCAAAACCTCAAATATTCCTCAACAGGTGATTGGTTAAATAAACTGTACTACATATACATCATGCAATAATATGCACTGGTAAAAAGAATTGAACTATTGATAAACACAACTTCAGTAAATTCCAAGAAAATTTTGCTAACTAAAAAAAAAAATCTTAGTGGCTCACGCCTGTAATCCTAGCACTTTGGGAGGCCGAGGCGGGCGGATTGCTCAAGGTCAGGAGTTCGAAACCAGCCTGAGCGAGACCCCGTCTCTACCAAAAATAGAAATAAATTAATTGACCAACTAAAAATATATATACAAAAAATTAGCCGGGCACGGTGGCGCATGCCTGTAGTCCCAGCTACTCGGGAGGCTGAGGCAGTAGGATCGCTGAGCCCCGGAGATTGAGGTTGCTGTGAGCCAGGTTAATGCCACGGCACTCACTCTAGTCTGGGCAACAAAGTGAGACTCTGTCTCAAAACAAAACAAAACAAAACAAAAATCTTAGAAATTAACATACTGCATGATTTCATTTGTATAACATTTGAAAATAAAAATTTTATATATATACATATATACAGTATATATACTAAAGCTTCCGATGTCTCTGATGACTTCTAACTCTGACCTCTAGACCCTCTTTTAAAAGGATTTGTCTGGTTGGGCGCAGTAGCACATGCCTGTAGTCCCAGCTACTCGGGAGGCTGAGGCAAGAGGATTGCTTGAGCTCATGAGTTCAAGTCCAGCCTGGGCAACAGGGTGAGACCCCCATATCTAAAAAATAAATGTTAAAGGGCTCATCTAATTAGGTCAGGCCCACCCATACAGGGAAGGGTAACATATAGGGTGTGCACACCTGAAGGTGAATCTTGGGGGCATCTTAGAATTCTCCCTGCCATAGGCTGCATTTGGGGTAGAGCTAGCCCAGGTTTAGGTTGTTTCTCTGGATCCAGGAAAGTTGAGCTATAGGCCCCATCCAGTCAGTACAGTTTAAATTTGGTAACGTCCCCAACACTATATATAAAGTTACAGATCATATACATTTGTTAGACTATTTTTATGTAAAATACTTGGTTCAGGTTCTAGTAAATAAAGTTTATTGACTTAAGTTGAGATTGTTTTCATACTGATGTACCTCATCATATTCCGAATCCAATTGAACCTCAAGCTTTGTTGCTTAAAAACGATTAATATTTTTAAGATTCTTAGTGAATATCTTGACTTATGCTGCTGATGTTTTTCCCAGTTGGAAAGAGGGCTCTGTGCATATAAGCAGGCTTTTGTGCTGGAGATAGCCGTGCTGTTGCCAATGCTGAGTTCTAGTTTTTTTCCTCCCAGTGCCCTATTGCTCCACCCTCTGAACGTCCCTGAAATGGTTTTAGAGCTTTCCTTCTAGAGGGAGCTCTTCCCCACACTTAACTTAGAAGAAGTAATAATTTTAAGAATCAAAGAGATGTTGATCTTCTCCCTGAGCACCAAAAGGTGCTCCTTACCTGGGCTGCATCACTAACTTGAATA